TACGTATTTTAAATTAGCTTAACGGGCTTTAAACATAGTTGGCGACTTTTTAGTTTGTTATATCTTTAACATTTATTTAATTTATTTTTCACTTGTTAATTTCTGTACACCTAAATTGAATGTACAAACTAATTTCAATTTTAGCTTCTTTGAACATTTTGTATTTTATTTACTCTAGGTTAATAAGTATATTTTTAAATCTGCTGATCTAAGGAGGTTAAGAATTTGTTCTATTTTTGGTTGTTAAGAATAATAGTTTTAAATCAACTTTACATTTTTTTGTAGAGAAGAAAAGTCCTAGCACTGCTTTGCCAAACTTGTTCGAAGTGTATTACTAACCCTTTCTGTAAAAATGATTTGTGGCTCCAGTGCATTGGCACGCAATGGAAAGTTTGTGATGAGGAGAAGGAGGGGACAGATAGGACCCCTTTTTACGGACGCTTCATAAAAACCTTTTTATACTGCATAGAATTTGTTATTGGAATGGTTAGCCGCCTCCCTCCGCTATTATTTATTGGCCGTGTGCGTGTGCTGTGCGAAATTGTACTATATGCCTATTATAACGACGTGGAGGGAGGGAAAGGGGAGGGGGTTGATTAGCTCCCGAAAAGAAACTGATATATATGAACGACCCAGAGGAACAGGGGAGGTGGCCAGTTCAAATCAGTGCCTGGCACGGTTATTGAAAACCCATTTTGCGAGTGTGTTGATTCATATATGTATGGGTAATTTTCCGGTCTGGCTCATTGCACTTTCCACACTTAATGGAAATCTTTGAAAAAAAGTTTCACGGAGCACTAAAATTTAATTAAATGATAAATCTTGAGGAACAAGTTTGAAGCACGACTGCGTCGATTGCAGTCACTTTAATTAAATATTCGTTTCAATTGTTTCTGCTCCTTACCAACCACTGTAAAATTTATTCGATGTAGAAATAAAAAGATTTTAAGTGGTGGATAGTCGGGCAAGAATGCTTTGAAAATACTCAGTGATTTGGGTGCCATAGTTGATCAGAACTCGTGTCGTTAAAATTGTCGTTGTTAAATCATTGTGCCTTAGAAAACGTAGTGTTAAATGCATTAACTATGGGGTATTATTAACAGTTACAGCTTATGTATCTAAAGTCACTTTTTGAAAAAGATTTCAATTTTTAAAAATTAAACTAGAGAAAATTAAGGCTCCTTGGAAATGAATGGCTTTGTTGTTACCAGTATATTACGCCTCAAATTCAAAAACATAAAGTAAATAAATTAAAAGACACTCTTTTGAATATTTTTTTTTTTTTTTTTTTTGTTGGTAAAAATGTTTATTTGGTATTAACTAGCTTACTGTTACCGCTGAGGCAACTTAATCTAGTTACATCTAAGAAAAAAACTAAAACAAAGAGATCAAATGATCATATATACAGGCTAGACATTATCCTACATTAACTACATTTACATACACTGACGAGCAAAACTGTAACACGATTTCATTGTTTCAACTTCAAAGGTCTGTAACTTTTTTTCTAATGCACGGATTTGGAAGATCTTAGTCTTGTTTTGTAGGTTATATTATTTACTACTATTAAGTAAAATTCAAAGCCATTTGATATCAGTTAAAGAAAATGACGCGCCAAACTGTAAAAAAAGTCAAATGTTACAGTTTTGCACTCTGGTTATTTTTTTAAGAAATATTTTTATTAATGATTTTTTAATAGTGAGTTCACATCCCCTTGGACTTTTTTAGCTTTTCTATGAGTCTGGGCATTTTTTGGGTACACCGTCGTACCATTTCCGGGGGAATATCATTCCATACGCCCTGTTGCCGCTCTTACAACTCCTTCATTCCACTTGGAGGAACTGCATATTTCTCCAGCTGCGATTTCACATGACTCCACAAGTTTTCTGTTGGATTCATGTCGGGAGATTGTGGTCGCCACTTCATAGATTAAAATTTCTGTTTTGAAATCCAATTTTTTACCAATATGGACGTGTGCTTGGGGTCGTAGTCTTGCTGAAAAGCGCATTTTTCGGCAGAAAGACCCAACTTTCCAAAATTCCTTTGGAAGATTTTCTTGTAAAATGGATAGAAATTGCTCCTTCCGCATTATTCCATCGATTATCAACAAGGAACCAACTCCATTTAAATTAATGCCCCCCAAACCATGATGGAACCCCACCGTGCTTGATAGCGAATTGGGATACTGTAAGCCATTGCTACCAGTGTCTTAAAAAGCAAGCAATTCCAAAATACTTTTGTTTTCAAGGTTTTATGGTCGGATGAAACAAAAATTAATCGCTTCGAGTCAGATGGGCGCTCTTGGTATTGGACTAGAGATCCCACGATCCAGTCACCAAGGAATGAGTGACAAGCCGCTAGCGGTTCCATGGTTTGGGGGAGCATTCATTTAAATGGAGTTGGTTCCTTGTTGATAATCGATGGAATAATGCGGAAGGAGCAATTTCTATCCATTTTACAAGAAAATCTTCCAAAGGAATTTTGGAAAGTTGGGTCTTTCTGCCGAAAAATGCGCTTTTCAGCAAGACTACGACCCCAAGCACACGTCCATATTGGTAAAAAATTGGATTTCAAAACAGAAATTTTAATCTATGAAGTGGCGACCACAATCTCCCGACATGAATCCAACAGAAAACTTGTGGAGTCATGTGAAATCGCAGCTGGAGAAATATGCAGTTCCTCCAAGTGGAATGAAGGAGTTCTAAGAGCGGCAACAGGGCGTATGGAATGATATTCCCCCGAAATGGTACGACGGTGTACCCAAAAATGCCCAGACTCATAGAAAAGCTAAAAAAGTCCAAGGGGATGTGAACTCACTATTAAAAAATCATTAATAAAAATATTTCTTAAAAAAATAACCAGAGTGCAAAACTGTAACATTTGACTTTTTTTTACAGTTTGGCGCGTCATTTTCTTTAACTGATATCAAATGGCTTTGAATTTTACTTAATAGTAGTAAATAATATAACCTACAAAACAAGACTAAGATCTTCCAAATCCGTGCATTAGAAAAAAAGTTACAGACCTTTGAAGTTGAAACAATGAAATCGTGTTACAGTTTTGCTCGTCAGTGTATATACATTTATGATATGACCCTTGATGGTAAATCGGCTGGGTGGCATCTTTTTAGGCGTCTTCTCGTCGGTTGCGCTGTTAGCTGTCTGGCCAATGCATTAGGGTGGTTTCCAAGGCGTTGCACATAGCCGGTTGCCAAGTTTTGAAGAACGTCTCCGACCTTGGGGACCTTCAGGTTCCTCTCGATGTCCCTATTTCGGATGTACCAGGGGACGCCAGAAATTTTCCTCAAAACTTTGGATTGCGCCACCCTAATTTTATTCAAATTCGACTTCGCTGCAGTTCCATATATTTGGAAAGCGTATTTCCATATAGGGGAAAGGATCGCCTTATATATTGCAATCTTATTGTGCAGGGTCAGCTTGTTCTGTGGTGAGAGCAGCCACTCCATTCGCTTGGCCTTCTGCAGGACAGAATGCTTCACCATTGTGGTGTGAGCTTGGAAGTTGAGCGTCCTGTCGAGTATGACACCCAGGTATTTGTGGGACTCTTTGTGCTCCAGTGTAGAGCCCGACATAGTGATCTCACCACAGGACTTAGTTCTCGTTGAGAAAGTAACGTTTGCGCACTTACTGCTGTTGACTCCTATGTTCCACTTCTTTGCCCAGTTATCGAAGCTGTGAACATAGGTTTGTAGAGCTTGCCACGCTGTGCGGATAATTGGGCTTCTCGTCAGCACGGCAGTGTCGTCGGCAAACGTTGCAATAAGAACATCGTTCTCATCAAATCCTGCTATCGCCCCAGCGGTTGGCATATCTGCTGTGTATAGTGTATATAGCGTTGGCCCAAGCACGCTTCCTTGTGGGACGCCTGCACATATTGGCTCTTTTGAATAGAATTTTTTTTGGGACTCAGAGTTCTTGTCATTTTGGCGTTAAGTTCAGGAGGATATTGCTTGATAATCTACACCTTAACAGCTTTACGATATAGTCACCCGATTTGTATCAGAATAAAAGGTTGGGACAAGATTGTACAAAAACGTGATGCTTGGTGAAACTAAACACTTGACAAATAAAAGTAGAGTTTGGTAATCTTATAAGTCCTAAAATAAACAAAACTATTTAGAACGCTTTAAACTATTCTGTATCAAATCGACTTCTTGTTCTGATTGACCAGAAGCAAATAGTCACAAAAATGGGTCGACAAAATAATTATGCCAATTTGAGTACATTATAAAATTGCATTTCCGATTCTAACCTGTATTGAAACACTGAAAAATTGTTACTCGTAGTTTTTTTGCATGTGCATCCCAGATTTGTTACTTAATACAATAAACCAGAGCCAGAGAAATTTAGTTTTCTTACGAAGTTCTTCCAAGGAAGCATGTGATAATCCCCCTTTCCCACAATCAGATGCCACGACCAATGACAACTCATTTTTCCGCCTCACGCACTGGGTTACTATCACCCCCGAAAACCCCTTTCCCCGGAGGAAGGTTAACCCTTTGCTGCGCCCCAGAATTCATTCATAAATGTGGCCTCCAGTTTCACGCGCCCAAAAGTATGCAGAGAAAATTTCCCATCGCTCGAGAGGCGTTCAATCGGCTTTCAACCGAGTGGAGAGCGCTTCAGCCGTGGTGAGTTTCCCACGCACACCCCCCATTGGGCAGCACACACACAAGCACACACACACAGTCCAGGTTAGAAAAAAGAAGCACAACGAAGTGAAAAGCGCCCGCCAACAAAAAGCAAAATAAAATGCGGCCCAGCAACAACAAAAATCACAGTTGTCTGATTCGCTCGCGACGCCGCCGCCCACCCCCTGCCACCCACTAAGCCCATCCCACCCACACACACGCCCACCCCGCCCCAAAAGGACGACGATTCGCCGGAGGAGCATCTTCGGAATCGCTCGGCACTCGCTGCCACTCGCTCCTCGCGACTTTTGTTTCGCCCTCGTGGCTTTAGTACTTCGACAGCGTTCGGTTCGTGCGGTTGGCCTGCTCCTTGGTCCTTGGTCCTGCCGGAAAACCAGAGTCCCTGAACAGAATCGCGAGTGTTTTGCCGCCAAGTGTTGCGTTCGCGTTGCAAGTGGCTTGAAAGATGATAATTAAAAGCCAAGAGTGACTGGGCAAAGTTCTTAACAAGAGCTGTTTACTGCTTTCCCAGCTATCGAAAAATTAAGTCCGCTAACGTGTTATTATGTTTCATTAACAACCAAGAAGATCTGTTAATTAATTACCATAGAAGTATGCGAGTGCATTGCAGATGCCACACAATCGTTGTTTGACAAACACTTTTCAGCAATCAAATAGAAGCAGATATTTGTGGGAAAGCATTATGGCAGCATTCAGATTGTCAATATAATGGACATGAAAAGTATCTCTAACGATCCCTGAAATAACCACTTTAAATTCCGTAAAACTATGGAAACCCCTCCCAATATAGCCCATTTGTGGTGCATACTATGGGAAATAAGTTTGCCGAATAGTTTTCTAATCATTTGCCTTGATTTGGGCCACCAAAGGCATTCAAAAATAATTTGGAGAATTTTCGGGCACATCAACAACAAGTTGAACTCGCTCGCGTGCCAAGTCGCGCGCGTTTTTAGCCGCTTGTTGGCAATTTAGCCGCGACTTTGGCGACGTTTGCAGTCAGCTGCGTGTTCGCCGTAATTATATTTAAAATAAAAACAAAGCCGCGTTATTTATGAAGCAACAACAATCGGGCAGCAGCAACCCTCGGCGGTCAATGGTCGTCACATGATTTGCCGTCCAACTGCAATGCGTGTGGCTGATGTGTATCCTGAAATTTGCCTACAAATGTGTCTGGCCGAGCACTCGACGCAGTTTGTTGATGTTGGCCAGGCCAGGAGTGGCGGGCTTAGGCCGCCAACAATTGCATATTTTATGTTTCACGGCTGCCGACTGTAATTTAAAGTTCATTGATATCCATAAAGCGCAGGGCAGTCGCTCGGGGGACGGCCCATGCAAATTCGCTGTCTGTTGCCCATTTGTTGCAAATATGTTGCGGCTATTCGGGTGCCCCGGATTTAATTCATCCCCACACCGGCGATTTCCCGGGGGACGCTCCGGCCTGTTTTCGATTTATGGCACTCTCTATCATTTGCATTTTACATATAATTTCTGATCAGTTGTTATCTGCTGATTGTGATTTCAGCTGGCCCTAAACCCAAACCAAAATCGAATGTGCAGGCTTAGATGGAACGGGGCAGATGGGCCTGAAAATATATTATGGAAATTAAAACATGTTGACTCAAGTTCGGAGCTCCGCTCTTTTGCGGTGCGGGAATCAAATCCCTTAATCCATTCTACACAACCAACTGCAAATTGGCCTGCATCTGTGGGCCGGCCCGGCCATTCAAAGAGTTCCGGCTGTCTGCTGAGCGGGATCGAAACGGCTTGCAAGCCCCTTGCCAGCTTGACATAATAGCCAACATGTGAGGAACCGGCTGCCTCCATTGTTGTTGCTATTGTTAATAACAAGCGATAATAATCAACTTCCGTGCTGGAAAGTGAGCGGAGGAGAATTCTGAAAACCCGAGCGAAACTTTGCGCACTTGAAGGCCCGTCAGGTGAACGGTTTGAGTTATGCAAATATTATGCAGGAACTGTTAGCTGGGTCCCCCCCTTCTGGGCTCGATTCAAAATAAAATGCTGGACGGCAAATAATTTTTGAAAAATGTCGAAGTGGCATCGCGATAAAGGGCGAAATTTATCACGTGTTAATTAATGTTTGCGTTGGAAATTGAATTTGGCCCAGCGAAAAGATTAGCTAGTTCTCTGTAGGAAATTAACTTAGTTTTTGCAAACGATTTTTCGGGGTGAATTTCATTTTAAAGAAAAATTCCCTTTTGGCGGACAAAACAAATAGCAGAGGGAGCAAGGGTATTGACATTTTGCTATAACTCACCAGATTATTATTATACACATCGGAGCTTGGAAAAGGGAACTGTGCATGTCCGAACCCATAAAAATAATATACGACTCGGACGCCACAAAATTGCCATGAGTAGCTCTTATTATTTGTCATAAATATTTGGACTTTAGAAATATTTAGCAGTCAGAAGCTTGAACAAAGGCAAAGCTAACTAGACTTGATTGTGTGCGGCTAGATATACGCGCGAAAATAATTATTGAATTTAAAAACCAGACTCAAGCAAGTAAACAATATTTTCCAAAGTTTTGCCCAAATCAAATTGTTTTATCATTTTTACGACCTGATTCGTAAAAATGTTCCAAGCATTTTTATTTCAATTAATGAAAAGAATATCAAAGAAGCAACATGTTTTGTGTAATTTAAAATCTTTTATCCAAGTTGCTTTAAAAAATCAATGAAGACTTGGTGACAGCTGTATACTATAATCAACCAATTTATTTATTGGTTTTGTTATATTAAAAACAACTTGTTTATCACGAAATTTGGCAACATTAGTTAAGGTCGTGATTTTACTAAAAATGGCTCATAATTTTGTTGATGTAATAAGGTAGACCTGGGCCCCAAACAATTAAATCTTATAAATTTAGTATTAGCGATAAAATATTCTCAAAACTTCATTGGACTGCAACAAATTTTGCAATATCGAGACTCAGCCCCAGTTATATTGAATATGTTGTGTAGAGTAAATTTAGTTATTAAGGCAACATTAATTGCATTGTAGCAGGGGCGGACCCAGGGGGTGGTCCTGGGGGTCCGGACCCCCCCAAAATCTCAGAATTTTTCAAATTCCCTTACAGCATTCGGTCTTTTAACCATATAAACTAAAAAATTTTTTGATCGGACCCCCCCAAACTAAAAAATTTTCGTGCGGACCCCCCAAAATTTTTTTCTGCGTCCGCCCCTGCATTGTAGCATTACGGGTAGAATTTTGGGTACTCAATTAATGAATTAATGTGTTTGAGACCCTGGGGCCTAACAAAGAGTAATTTTTTTAAGAAATAAGCGTATGTATATCTAACCTAGGAGATTGGTTTAGTGATTAATTTGTATCCAAATGGAGAGTTTTTTAATCGCTTGAAAATATATCAATGGTTGTGAACACAGAGTAATGAATAATTTCTGGAGCGTCATCAATACCACAACAGGCCGAGTGTCCGAATAAAATGCGTCCGATCCGAGTATGCAAAGAGGGACTTTCGACACACTCGCCTCGATATGGCTTCGGATTGTGGTCAGGCTGGGAGCAGGAGCGGGTCTACAGCCAGAACCATCACCTGTCCCTGTCCCTGACTCCGGCTCCTGACATGGCCCGCATGCCCTAAATTATTAATAATATTGCCATGCCCATTTGCTAGACGTTTTTAGTGCCTACCGCCAGTCTTGCCACCCCTCCCTTAACCATTTGCAGGCCTGTCGCCTGCCTGTTGTCTTTTGTAGTCTACTTTTCAGAGCATGCAATGTGGATTGGATGTGTCTGTGTGCAGTACGACAAAGGACACATACCACACATGCCGGCAACTTTGCTTTCAATTCCGCTAAATTATGAAAAAATCAATACCAACTCAGAGGGGTTGGAGGGGGGAGGAATTTTAATGAAATGTCAGTTTAAAATGGTTCCTGTCAGTTTGCGGGCGCCAGAAAGTAGGCTTTTATTCTTACCAAACCGAAATTCGTTTGCATGTTAAGATTCATGGTCGAGTCAGCTGGAAAGTTAATCAAGGTTTCCCAATCGTACGGGCGGACTTTGGAATACATTGATATCTGGCCCTGTCACCCCATTATTTGTTTTAGGCTTTAAAAAAAACAATTCATTAAAAAATCGACAAATGTGGACAACAGGAAAAGCCAGAAAGTCAAATATATCAGTAAAAATAGTTATGCCTATAAAACTTGTTCTTCCAATTAATATGTTGATTAAATTGTAAACAAAAATCGACAAGTTCTTACAGAAATGTCACTGAAGATACGAATTAAATTCAATTCCTTAATGTTCCTCCTTTAAAGTCTGAGTTAATTGCTTATTTGCTTAATAATAATCAACAAGAAAAGCCAACAACTTTTGGTTGTTGTTTTTTTTTTCTAAATTTTGTTAGTTAAAGAAGCTATTTTTGTTAATATATCTGTGTGAAACTGACACCAAAATCATTTTTTATTATATTTATTTAATTTCTAAGAAACAGTTGTTTTAGTTTAAATGATTTCTGACTTTTGATACTTTTAACTTTCTTTATATCCATTCTAATGCGCAAATGATTTACTGAAGAGAAAAGTTATGCTAACGCTAGATAAATAGTAAGACAGCTTAACTCTCTTGAATGATTTGGGAAAACCAATAGACTATATAGAGCATAGCAAAAAATACCTTTTTACTTATTTAAATATTTAGTAACTGCCATGGCTTGAATTAAGCACCGAAACGATCCGTTTATTATCCAATAAAGACGTTTCCAAAAAGTACTACCACTGAGTACTGCTGCATTTCAAAAAAGTCGCTGCATTTTTTTGGTGTCCCCACGTCGCTTGGGTTGGCCCTTAAAAAGCGAAGGAGAACTCAACTCAGCGCCGACATAAAGCACAACTAAACTATTTCAGACATATCCGAGGTCCGCAGGGATGAACGATTTGATGCTTTATTTACGAGCTCACAGCGATGCGGCTCCCAGCGAAACATTTCATTTCCGTTCCGTAAACAGTTTTGCCCCCTGCCACGTTTAAAAGCCGAGAAACACAACGAACGGCTAAAATGAAATGAGCAGAGAGGAGAGCATGCAACACCTTTTCCAGAAGATAGTTGCAGGTTGGTAGTTAATTTCTGGCAGCTGTTCGCCTGCAGAATTTACTCAGCCCGAACACGCAAAATAAGCCAAGAGCGAGGGTCCGTAACTGGGCAAAGAAATATGTTGGCCCGGCCCAAAGGCACAGGATACGTCCGGAGAGGAAGGCCGTGGGCCCTCTTCCGCGGCTAGGTCCTCCTGCTTTAAACTTGAAACTTTTAATTTGGCGTATTTTCGACCGGCATCGCGATTATTGTTTGCCATTGTTTCGCAGTTTTGATTCTGTTTTCAAGTACTTTTGTTGAACTTTGCCCTGTTGCCTGTTTACGCGCATAAATAGCAACAGCAACGGCCAGAAGTTGTTGCCATTAGAGGCGCGCTAATGACTCCAATTACGAGGCGCGCGGATATTGCCCACTCAACTGAACCGAAGTTAAGAGCGGTTACGGTACAGGTGCGGGGGGCCAACGGGAAGTAAAGGTTTTGCACTCCTTGTTTGTCTTCCTGCAGGGCCCTGAGCCTCGCCAATAGTTGCCTTCAGATCATTCTATTCAGATCAACGAGCAATTGCAAGTACTTCCCCAATAGGAAGATATTTTTACTATATGATAACTTAGAATACATGAAAAGTTTTATTTGTTTGTTCGAACTCATCTCCAACTAAACAAATTTTTACAACTTTTGCGGAACAACAGATCCCTGCAAACCAAGTGATTAGCTAAAAACACAACACAAGAAAGTAAAGGACACATTTTCAAAATGCAAGCAACCTCTTCTCTACGCTGTTTCCACACTTGTGCGATAAAAGTCGTACTGCTCCTAATCCTGATGAGTCAACATTGCAATCCTCAGAGAGTGGAGGTGCCAGCCGAAGTAATCGGTAAGTCGGTTTTTTCGAGTGGAACAAAACAAGTTTACTCGTTTGACCTTTGTGTGGTAAATTAATGCTTTTAAACGCTTAATTCGTCTCTGAAAAACTTAAGTTTTTGCCTAAAACATAGTAAACAAATTTTGTCGTTTGGAAATACTCTATTTATTTATATTTAACTGTTATAATTTACCATTTTTTTAAATGATTCAAAAACAGGAATCCGGTAATCCTTTCATTAAAGTTTAAAAATCTACCAGAATTAAATTTTTCTTGCTCGGATTTAGCACACTGATGATAACACTGATGATGTTCTCATATTTCCGAACGAACCATTTGGAAAATGATTATTGTCCCACACAGAAGAACGTTTGTTTGTTGGCTGACAGAATTAAACATCCCACAACAGTGTTCATCATAATCGTTATTTTAGCGAGCACACTTTGCGTTATATTCCAATTATTTTCCAATCAAGCACGACCACGCTCACCCACGAATATCCCTCGACTTTATTACAGTTGATCCCAAATTCAGTTCTCCAATCGTGAACATGACAGCGCCCGTGGGACGTGACGCCTTCCTCACGTGCGTCGTCCAGGATCTGGGTCCTTACAAGGTGAGTGGAGCGGGGAGCAATCCGTTAATAACCGAACTTAAATTAGCAAATCAGCTCGGCAGCTGTCCCGGGTCCGCCGCTCCTCGGCGGCCCTGTGTTGGGGGCTCAATTACACACTCAATAAGCAGCCACAAACCGAAACCGACCGCATTAATATTCATTAACATTTCACCATCCCGGCAACGAGCGCGCAATCTCAAAGACCAAATCTCGACACCAAAAGCGGGCAGCAGGAGTTGAATGGCATGAATGGCGAATGGTCGGGGGGAAAGTGAAAATAAAAACATAAACAGGGATATGCCGGCTTACGGATGACAAAAGCGAAAATCACATAAAAAGTAATTGAAATATGAATGAGGACGTGTTAAGCGAGTCCTGGACGCCGGAGTGGCGTCCTTTCCTCCCCGGACTCTCTGTTTTATTTGTGTTTGCATTTGCATTCGTTTGTCTCGTTTGTCGCGTTTGTCTCGTTGGGGGAGCAAGTGTATCCGTATCCTGATCCGCACCGAATCCACACCGAATCCACAGTCGGCCGTTGGCAGGTGAACGGGGACGTGGATCTCCATTGAAGTGAAAAGCTTTGTCCTCCCACTTCGCCTGGGTTGCAGCCGGCGATGTTGTTCCTGCGAACATCAAGGGGAGCCACGAAGGACACCCTCAATCTGTGCCGTGCACAATTAAGCACTGTTCCGCTCAGAGATAATTGAGCAGGCACTTGGGTGTAATTACTTACTTTATGCTGACAGCGCTCGGGGACCCGAGCAAACCCAAATTCAATTTAACCGAAAATAATTCATTAGCCTTCGATTGAACCGACTGGAAATTAGCCAGTATTTAATTTATTTATGTGCATACTAAACATGCGGCTTCACAAAAAAGTCAACTAGCTTCTCGTGTTGACATGTCGTCTGGATGGAGCTCCACACCCCCGTTCCACCCGAAGGAGGGAGTAAAGGGTTGGCCTCCTCGTGCTCCCCGCTCTCAAAATAACTCAGCTTTTTAGCTCACAAGCTGCGTGCCTTATCGCATAATAATTTAGCTGGGTAATTGTACAATGACGAGCTTCTACGTAGGATTGTGTGGCGGTGTGTACGTGTGGGCTGAAATTTCTTAAATAGTTCTGTGAATAGATTTTTCGTGTATAATTGAACAGCCATGCATGCTACTTATGTTCATGATTGGCGCCCAGCCCTCGCTACTAAAAGCTAGACAAGGTATCACCGAAATTTGATTACAGTCAGTCGAGTTTTTGTACTTCAATTACTCCTCGCAAGTATTAAAACCAGTTTAGACATAAACGTTCATTGTTATTCACTAACAAATAATTACAAATGTTCCTTTTTAACGCCAGATCTATACGCTTTCTGTATTACATGATTGCACCAACTTTATGGCCCATTAATTTTTATACTTTCTGTACACAAAATTTAATCGCGGCTTTAAAAAAACATTGAAGCTATTTCCAAACAGCTACAAGGAAGAGTTGACAAACGTTGCCAAAACTTTTAGAAATTTCAGCCTTCAAACAAGCCAGGGGCACTTCAAAGTTTTTTTAGTCACAAAAGCCCTCTTTATTTATTTACTTTTGGTTTTTTTTATTTTTTAACAAAAGCGTACATAAATAAAGTTAGAAAATTGACAACCTCTTATTTCATTAGTTTCAGAAGGCTTTCTAATATGAACTTGTAAAGGTTTAGCTAGGAAGGAATCTCACAAATTGTGAAGTGTGTTCTATTTTCTTTTTTCGTTTTAAATTTGATAGATAACTCCAAATTTATAATAGCAGAGCTTTCCGGAAAACTGATATTTCTGTTAATTTAATGTCAAAAGAAAGATTGTGAATACAAAGAAAAGGCAAAATAAAACAAGAAAGGAAGCTAGCTTCGGCAAGCCGAAGCTAATATACCCTTGCAGTCATCAAATATTTCGAACAGAATACACAAAGGCTAAACAACATCGAAGCAACGACGACTTTTCTATTAATTTTTCATATTTTTGACTAATGTTCATATGGCAGCTATATGATATAGTCGTCCGATTTTGATGAAATTATATTTGTTATTCAAGAGTCGTTAGAAAACTCTATTTTCCAAAAATCATGATTTTCTGATGAGAAATAACGATCTTATCATTTTATTTCCGTTAATTCTATATAGATTTTTCGATCTTTCCTATGGCAGCTATATGATATAGTTGTCCGATTTGTATGAAATTTTTTTATCAACCAATGCTAGTTAACAAACTTAATACTCGAAAAATTATAGTCGTGTGATGAAAAACAATGACGTTATCAATTAATTTCCATTAATTCTATTTATATTTTTTGATCTCTCCTATGGCAGCTATATGACAGAGTTATCCGATTTCGATAAAATTTAACCCGAAATTCAATAGTAACTAGAAAACGCCATGTGGAAGAAATCAAGTCGATCTGATCAAAAACAACGGCGTTAGAATTTTGTTTTTTAATCTCTTGTATTGGAGCTATCCTATATAGTCGCCCGATCCGGCCCGTTCCGACTTATATACTGCGTGCAATAACTACACACCTTTTGGGAAAGTTTCAGCAAGATAGCTTTAAAACTGAGAGACTAGTTTGGGCAGAAACGGACAGGAGGACAGAAGGACAGACGGACAGACGGACAGACGGACAGACGGACAGACGGACAGACAGACAGACAGACAGACGGACAGACGGACAGACGTACAGACGTATTTCGATTCAGATGGTGATGCTGATCAAGAATATATATACTTTATGGGGTCTAAGGTGTCTCCTTCACTGCGTTGCAAACTTCTGGCCAAAATTATAATACCCTTTGCTCTGCAAGGGTATAAAAACAACATCTAATGAAATGAGACTTAAGATAGCCTGTCAACAAAGAATAGAAGGAGACAATTTGGCTCCCAAATCAAATTAACGAATATGAATAATATAACTAGTTCTAGACCGATTCGACCAGTTCATTAAACTTAAAGGTAACTGTTCAAAGCAGACCGCCAGAACCTAGTCATGTGCATATAGGTGTACCACTGCACCTGCAGCTCTCTTGTGCGGTCTTCAAACTACTCTCGTTGTCTCATTTTTATCTCATCTATGTCTATGTCTTATCTATTCAACTAAGCTACATTTGAGCACCTTTGTATGAGGCCACGCTTTCGTCTGGCCCCCAGTTCAACTCAGTTCACATGCATACAACATACACATTACGCATATCCCACATTCGCACACAACTAACAGTTTGATCATAGGCAGTTGCTGCTCCGGAGATCGCAAAAAAATGTATTTAGTTAAACCTTAAACCATCTAAATATATTATTAAGGGTAGCATATTTGTTGTCTTTTTCCCAAACAGTAAACATATGCATAAACAACTCTTAGGAAAATATCGAAAATAGGATATCTGTGAATATTTTTTGAAGAATTGCTGCACTTTTCCAGATCAACCGCAGAAGTCCTTGGCATATTAATTTTTGAATTTTTAATTGAATAAAATAGTGAGAGATAACTCATCCAAGTTTATTGCAGGTGGCGTGGCTACGGGTCGACACTCAGACAATATTGACCATCCAAAACCACGTAATAACGAAAAACCAACGCATCGGCATCGCCAATTCTGAGCACAAGACCTGGACAATGCGCATTAAGGACATTAAAGAGTCGGACAAGGGCTGGTATGCACTTTGGGTGAATTCACCAGCTCGTCATAATAATCGGAAACATTTCAGGTACATGTGCCAAATCAACACAGATCCGATGAAAAGCCAAATGGGCTACCTCGATGTTGTGGGTAAGTGGACGGGGAAATGCGAGTGGTCTTTTTGCTCATTACGTTTCGGTTGTCAAACAATCATACGCCCCGTTGCCGGGACTGGTCTCCCATTGTTCGAACCGTATTACGCGAAATAAAAATATTAAAAAATTAAACGGAAAGGCGAGTGAGGCGAACAAAGCGTTGCTGCCGTGCGCAAAAAGAGAATAGCACCGTGGCTTATTAAATTTCACCGGCTAATACGCGGACTCAGGGCAAACTCTGCCAACGGAGCTCACCGTGGGCGACTTCTCGTTGCGAGTGCTTAAACATGTTTAACCGTCCACTGAACCGCAGAAATTGTTGATTTTGAATTAAAACGGCACCGCAGCAGCGAGAGGCATCGTAAGAAATGGCTGGGAGCCGCCTATGAAGTGCTCAACGCGCGCATTTCGGCTGTCCATTTGCGGTCGCTCTGCCCCGCCTCCCTCTATACCGCCTCTATATCCCCTCTATATCCCCTCTAAATCCCCTCTACATGCCCCATACCCCACTCCTCCCGAGCCCACCCAACTGCCTAAATACCTCTTGCTGGCAAATCTAAATCAAAGCGCTAAATATTTTAGCCACCATTGCAGTCGGCGCGGCATTCACCGGCAAACACGAAAAAGTATAATCAACTGTGTGTATTTGCACTGGATAATCAGCGGGTGAAGTACAGTGGAGCAAAACTAGCTGGTATACTTGATTGGGTAAATAACGTTTATAATTAAGCCTGACCAAATGGATCAGTTAGAAAAGTTTCTAAATGATTTCTCATTGAAATAACAGATTGCTACTGGATCTACGTTTATGCGAAAACTTATTGTTCCAAGTACTCGTATCACTTTTAGAAAAGGCTTTTTAAACTCATACCACTGTAGCCCGCTCAAAATTGTTTCGGGGGAAATCGAGTGGAGGCGGAAAATCGGCCACGGGAAACATTCGAGTTGCGAGAAACTGGAGGGTGGCCTGTGGACGGTGGTCGCTCCTGATGATTTTCGTGACCGAGTGCAGTTAAATAGTGGACGACAAACCGTAGCGGAAGCGGCACAGCTCTCACCTTTTTGGATTTCCAGTGTCCCCTCCTGAATCCTTTTTCACCCCGGACAACGAACACGCGTGCAGGATGCGCACATCGGAGTGGATTATACTCTAGTGGCGACTGGCGTTCGCGACATCCTGAAGATGAAATATTCGTAATGCAAAATTAAAACCTTTGCGTACAACAACTAGTTATACTCCCACGATTGATTATGAAGTACCAAACCAATTCAAATTCGGACCAGCATTCAAGTGACTAGGATTGTGCCACCATTACCGGCTTCACTTACCTGGCCCCACCTTGTTTTCCAAGGGCTCAGAACGGATTTGGAGATCCGAAACCCACCACCAGTCACCAGTCCTGCCAACTTTCGGGGCTGCAATTTTCCCGCTCCCCGGCTAACCTTGGCCACTTAATGACCATCCAGTGGTCACTGGCCAGCACACGGACTGACTCACTCGCTCCCGAGCTTAACAAGCTGTTTGTCAACACCAGCACATTTTTTGGTCATTTACCGACCACATAATTGCGGGATATTATATGCATACAGCCCAGGACCTGCCCCCTGCGGCCGCCGAGCGCCTCGTCCTGGCATTATTACGTTTTCACGGTTCATAGGTTTCCGCTGGGGGCGTCCGTCCGCCTCTTTGTCCGCTTTTCTGTCCGCTTTCTGTCCGCTTTTCTGGCCGCTGTCCTTACCGCAGCTACGGTTGTAATAATTTGTGTGTTTCGGGACATGTGAAAAGTTTGTCCTTAAAACAAAGGCGAGTGCGAGTGCGAGGACTCTTATTTCGCCAGAGGGTCGAATACAGGCGGGAACATCTCTGGGGCGGAGGTCGCGAATGAATCACTGCCTCCGTCCACCCGGGGGCGCCATATAAACAATACGGCTAATTATTTAAGCGAAGAACTCAAAATTTAAATTATTTAAATCGATTGCAGCCCATTCCAGCTCTCATTCCGCTCTCCCTTTCTCTCGCTCTCTCTTTACATGTGGAATGCATTATTTTGCAATGTTCGCTATAAATATTATCTAACCACGACAAACGTCTGGCGACCTCGATGGCAACCCGATGGCCGACTACCGTTCCTGGCTGCAGTACCGCCGGATATCCTAGATTATCCTACGAGCACGGACATGGTCGTTCGCGAGGGCAGTAACGTGACGCTCAAATGCGCCGCTACCGGTTCGCCAGAGCCGACAATTACATGGCGACGTGAAAGTGGAGTGCCCATCGAGCTGGCCAGCGGAGAGGAGGGTAAGTCGGCTCGCATTTTGGTAGCCCGGGTTCGCGCACTGCGAACAATTCAATGAGCTGAAATTTGGGATATAAAATATGATTTGTAGCCCATATATTAGGGGAATTGTAGTTGGAAATATTAAAAGTCTTAATCAGGGGTTCGGTTCAAACAACCTTTTTCTACGATAACTTGAAGACTTTTTGTTGATCATACTAATCAAATGTGCTCCAAATCGTCCTCCGTAAATCTACTGAAAAATCTTCGTACTGTTGCCAGTTTTTTTGACTTTAAAATATTTAAATACAACAGCTCTTTTTTTGTTTGGGCGCAGCTTATGTCATACATTTTATATTTGTATTATAATAATTTGAGCAATTCAAACGAGCTTTTAAGCATTTAAGCAATTTAAAAGGTTACACAGCAAACTAAATCTATTTATATACTAAGCTAATATATAAAATGTAATATTCTGCATTTATCTGCATGCTGTCAGCAGAATCATCATCAACCAGATGTAATGTGAGCCAATAATTAAATTAAACTATCCGAAATTCGGCACATGTGAACTTTGGGCCTGACCCCAGATGGCTTCTTCAACAGCTTGACCTTTTGTGCCGGGTTTTCGTGCAGGCTTAAATTGTGGATAGCTTATTTTCGTTTTCTCGCAGTACAGTAAAGCCTCCCCTCGGCGCCCGCCCTCCTGATTTGTAAGTACCTTTGCTGTTGTTGCCGACTCCGCCTGCATGAGGCTTTCCATCCAACATTTTGGAGTACTTTTACACAAAAAGGCAGCGGCAACGAGTTGGCCATCAGCAGTTATAGCCACAGGCCGCCTCTCTACCGAGTCCTGCCCAAGGCTATCGAGTGGTAACGAGTGGGTTGGCTGGTTGGGTGGTTGGCTAGTTGGGTGGCGGACTGTTGGGTGGTTGGGCAGCAAGCCCATCCCGTGGCCATGGCACCTGCAGACTGCAGCTCGACCAGCATGCGAAAGCTCCACCCGTCCTGTTTCGACGTGTTTCGTCCTGTTTGGATGTTGATGATGATGATGACGTCTGACTGACAGAATTAGCAAATGGTTAGGGGCCGATCGTTGGAGCTGGCCAACTGGCGGGTGGTGCAGTCCAGATTTGCTAATTGGCCTTGAAGTGTTCGCCAGTCGAGAGCAGTTCCAAACTTCGAGTTCCTTATTTGGAACGTTAGCTCACCCCGAACCATTTTCCAGCCACATAATCGTTGTTTTTATAAACATATTTGTGGTACTTTTTTCGGTATTCAATTCAGCCTTCTACTTCAAATATTTGCTTGATATTCAATGTTTAACGTTGATCAATTCACTGTAAAAAGTTCTTGCTTAAACATTTATACACAAAAAACGAATACAAAAATTAGATAGGAGCGTAGGAATTTTTAAGATTTTCTTACTTTAGTTTAATACACATAATTTCAATAATGACTGCTGACGTTGTAAGGGATGTACACAAAAATGTACACCGTAGTCAGCCAAAAGCACCGAATGCAAATAATAACAGAACTCGAATCAAAGGTGCTGCAGAAAAGATCCTCTGGAAACCCGCAAAACAACAAACGCAAACCAAAAAAAAAACCCATACGGCTAAATGAGAGGATGCAAAAAATCAGCATAAAGAGAACAAAAAGCTGGCGAAATGACCTTTTTGCCGGGCTTAAATGGCTGCCACCCAATCCAGCCCTTTCTCGGCCAAACGAGTATACTTCCTGTCCGACAACTTCCCAGTCCGATTTCCATTTCCCGACTTCACTCGTGTGTGGTGTGCTTGGCAGTCAGGCTAGACTAGATTGCCAGTCGGGGGCGCTATAAGGTTGCTCAGCGATGGGGATCTTCGGGAGGGAGAACATCATGAGCACTTACCCTTTAATACCTGGTAGCTTTAATTGCTCACGTTAGCTTCTTAATTAATTTCTTTATTAATCTACGTATCTCTGGTTTGAAAACCAACTCTTAGTCATGGAACTTAAATACCATATTTAAACTAATTATAATTAACTATTCAGATTGAACTTTAAAAGTGGTTTTCATAACAAGACAGAAATGTAGTTGTCTAAGTTGTAAGCAAAAAGAGAATAACAACGACCTTGTTTATCAATATTTCTATTGTTAATATGAAACGTGCTTATTATACTTCAACGTAGTAAAGGAGACTTTCTATTTATCCATGAGTTAACCTAAGAAACTTTAGAATTGTAATAGTTGCCTACTACTTTTGATAATAGCTGTAAGCACACTAGCGCATATTATCATGTTTCTAGAACAAAAGAGTATTTCGAATTCTATTTTCAGTGTGCTCCATTGTGTGTAGTCCCCCTTGTTTTTCTGACCAAAGTTTGTTTCATTTGAAATTTGATTATTTCGTTTCGTGTTCGCTGCTGCTGTGAAATAAAATGGAATCGGCTGAACAGAAGTAAAGTTTTACGCCATGGCGGGGCTCAAACCAAATTACACGTTTTTCGTGGCTATTACGTTTAATGACCGCACTGTGAACCGTCGGAGCCGAGCGAAAAAAAGGTGGAAGAGTTCGGCTAATAAGCGACTCGGTGGCCCGAAACGGTCCCCGGCTCAAAAGGCCAAATCAATAAACGAAAAATCAGCATATTATTATGTCCCGCAACTCTGCCTAACAATATCAAGCGCAAACTAGCCAGAACTTCCGGTTCCGGCGCACCCAAACAGAGCCACGTTTATCCGAATGGTCGTCTGTGGTGTTGCCGGCTTAAACCAGCCTCAGTGCCGTTTATATAATGCAAGCCCAGTTCGACTGTGATAACAGGATGTTTGTTCGGATCCCGAGGGGGAAGGGTGGTGCCATAAAAGGCAACAGCTTCTAGGATACATATACATTTGTTGCGTTGCTCTCAACTTTTGTTGAATGGCCACAACTGAAACTGAACTGAGTCTCGAGCTTAGAAGTTTTGTTCACAATTTTGTTGCTACCAGGTAATTATAACTCGGTATTACTTCGGCATAGCTTTTTAAGAGGAAAATCTAGCAACGAACCAAAAGAAGAGTTTTGTGGCTACACTTCCATAATAATAACATTATTAAAGTACTTAAAATCGATATGCAAGCAAGATTCGCGGTTTTTGATCCGTTGATCTTACACAAAAATAAGTATCTTAACATATTTTTACTATAATCAGATGCTGTCTGATCAATAACGTGTATACTTTCCCTCTGTCAAAAATATATATATAAATATAATATATATATATATATATTCAGCTCTACAAAAGATATTTTTATTTAAAAATAATAAAAACATATTGGAAAATTTACCAAGCTACCTTATAAGTAGCAGTTTAACCAAATGCGTTCAATTGCGAATGTATCTCCTTTTCTATAGTTTGTTTTATACATTATTCGAATGGGTCATTATTGTAATGGTTCAAAGTTTATGTTTTTATAATTACTACTTTCAGTTCTCAGCATCGAAGGCACTGACTTAATAATACCGAATGTTAGACGTCACCATATGGGTGCCTACCTGTGTATAGCTTCCAACGGAGTTCCGCCCTCGGTGAGCAAACGGATAACACTAGTTGTGCACTGTAAGTACTGAGCAATAGTGAAAATATTAAAACACTACGGGTTCCGGAAACCTACAATAAACGTACTATTTACAAAATTAATGATTTTGTTTTACTGTTCTGGCCATCTTAAACAGTTTATTCCTGGTTAAGAACTGCCAGATTGTCTTTTTCTTGGCAGAAAAAATTAACAAAGTTATACGTTAACTTTAGGACATGCGAAAAAACTAAAATTTTTAATTCTTGCTTTGGCGAATGGGTTGCGATATAAATTTAAAGTTTTTTTTCATACGGGAGGAAGACACATAAATTTAGGAATTAACAAGCGTACAGGTGCCTATTTTAGTTAATTTTTGTTTTCTATTCCAGTCCCTCCAATGATCACCGTTCAAAACCAACTGATTGGAGCTGTGGAGGGAAAAGGAGTAACCCTTGAGTGCGAATCGGAGGCCTATCCCAAGTCGATCAATTACTGGACCAGGGAACGCGGGGAGATCGTACCACCGGGTGAGAGAACTATTGTAAAACCAGAGTTTCAAAAAGCGAAGAAATTATGTATATTTGTATGCCCTTGTAACTCAGATTAGGAGAGTAGGTCAGGGTTTCCACCTCAGTTCCAAGTTCGATCCTAATGGTCAAAGGATAAAAACAATCTTTTTAAAAAACGGATATATTTAAGTACTTTGAAGAGATGTATCAATCTTAGAGTTAGAGTGTCGGTGAACAAGTGTTTTCGCTTCACAATGATATGATTTTAATTGAGTGCCACTGTTATATTACCTCATATTCTGTGAATGCCCCTGAGCATTCAAGAGGTCATAAGCCGCGCCGGGCACATTAACACATTAGCACTAAGCCCGCAGTCCGGAATCCTGAGTTCGGAGTTTGGAGTGAAGAGTGAAGAGTGAAGAGTGCGGAGTGCGGAGTTTGGAGTGCGAAGCCAAATCAGACGCGACCAATCCCTCGGAGGAGAAGGGGCTGCCTTCCCGGCGGAACTCACTGCCAGCCAGCAAACCGGCGAACTGATGACCGCCGAGTGCGAACTCCACGCGACAGACGCAGACACACCGAAAAAGTTGTTAATTAGCTGATTTAGTCGGCACTAACACGGAGATACTCGCAGCAGGACCGCAGTCCTGCGGTTTCCCGACTCTCGGCGGTGCGGCGATGTGGCAATGCGGCGATGCGAGGCTCGAGGCGGCGACTTGGACTGCCATTGCCGTTGTCATAACTGGAAATTAAATTAAATTAATTTACAATTTTGTTTCTGGCAGGTTTTAATTGACACCAGAAAAACCGAATAACCCCTCCGAACCCCACCGAACCCCGCTGCCCGGAGATCGGGCCTCCGGTGTGACATGAGTTCGTGCATAAATTTATGCCTGTCAGCAACATTGTTGAAACTTTTGCCCGGCCGTACTTTCGGTCGATGTGCGCGTGACATGCATTTAATTATTAAATAACGCAAAATTTCAATTAAATATTAATTAGTTTATTATTTTAATGAAATATTAACTCGGAAATCAAACCTCTCGCGTTGCAGGCGGCAAATACTCGGCGAATGTCACGGAAATCGGAGGCTATCGCAACTCGATGCGGCTCCACATAAATCCCCTTACACAGGCCGAATTCGGGGCCTACCGCTGTGTGGCAAAGAATTCCCTGGGCGACACGGATGGCACAATCAAGCTGTACAGTAAGTACCAGTGTCAGTACCCTTTTTGGATTGGTTTTGACGGATGAGGTGTGTCTCCAACAGGAATCCCGCCGAACGCAGTCAACTACGTGGAGAACTTCGAGGCGCGCCACAAAGGTAAGTAACTTCTTAAACGAAGTACATAACTCTGGAAAAAGAAAGAAAGTCAAGCCGGAGTGTTGAATACCCTTCCGTCAAGAAACGTGCAAAAGTCGGCGTGCCCAATTCCCGAAAGGTGGAAGAGGCGAGGCGAGCGCGAGAAAAGCAAAATTTAATAGCCACTTGGCATAAATTTAAGATGAGCCGCAGATATTCAGCTTGGCCGACCCGCGTGGCAGGAATCATGGGAAATATAAAGCTGGGCGAAAAGGTAGAAGGCGAGGAAAAAACGCATAAATAATTCATACGCCATGCAAATCCGTTTCAAATCGTCAACGCCACGGATCAGGTGGCTGCTGCCAGACGGGTGAAGGGATGGTATAGGGATGGGTTAGGGAAGGTAACGGATGGGAGGGGATGACACTGAAGCAGGTTGAAGCTGCGGTTGTTTGCGAGTAGCTCTGGAGGCAAAAAACAGCGACAAGTCTATTATGAATATGCGCTGCAGGTCCGATTGCTTTTCGGCAGTAATTTAAAGATACTCGTACTCCCAGTCAGCCAACTGGACTGCCGCCATTCAATAATGTCTCGTTTCGGTTCGCAGGCAAGAAGCGGACGAAAGGCTCGGAGTCGCACCATCCTTCGAGGGCCCAGGAGCACAGCGGCGAGGACCTGGAAAATCCGGGAAAAAGAAAAGGTAAGAGAACCGCTCCAAAAGCAGAGAGAGTGCGGCGAGTGCGGCACGCCGATTAGGGTTATGGGCCATATTTCAAGCGTTTGCCCTGCGGTTTGGGTCCAGCTTAACAGGCCACTTGAGACGGGACGAAGGCTATAAAAAGGGACCTCTTCCCCGCGACCCCCACAGCTCGACAGATTTTCACACTAATTTGCAAAGAGTGAGAAACGAGCGGATAGCAGAGGGCTGGGCAAGAGGGAAAACCGTAGCATACTTTTTTGGGCCAGGTAGAAGGCAAAGTTTTCCGCTCTTGGGTCTTGGGGCGTAATTGTATATCAATAAACACGCTCGGCTTGGCATTTCGGCCATTTAATGATTTGTAAATACTTGGCCACAATCAAATAACTTCACTCCCGGAAATCGGTGGCCAAAACTTGGAATCCCTGCGCTTTGTTCACTTTTATTGAGTAAATTGAGTAAATTGGTGGGAACTCACCTTTAAAGTTCCTATTTTTTGTATTTACCTCCTATAAATAATTAGTTAGCTAGGAAACAAAATTTATTTGGGTTGAAATACCTTTAGCTGAGCTGAGTTTTGATTACTGCATATTTAGCAAGTACAAGGCACTCCAAAATGACAATTCTTGACTTGCCTTTTCAAATCCGACCAACTAATCGCTGGGAAGTACCTGTGAGTCTGGACTTGTGGCCTTCGCCAGGGCAACCTCCGAGCAGGCTAGCTAATCACCTCTCTCAAAAGCCTTATCCAATTTCCGCCGCTGCCATCCCGGCTGAACCTCCCATCCCACCCACTAAATTTAGAGTGTCCCCTCTTCCCCAGCCGATTTGAGTCTGAGTGCGGAGAGCATCGACAGCATGTACGGATCCTCGGCATCAGGGATGCGGCGGCAGGACCTCGGCGGACTGCTCCTGCCAGTGGCAGTGGCAATGCTCCTGCTCCTGACGACGGCGATGGCGATGGCGGGGGAGCTGCGGGGGAGCCAGATGACACTGCCGCCGCAAAGAGTGACGCGTGTTTGACACAGACGCCGAGTTGACATCGACATGGAGTCGCCGCTGGATCGCAACTTGCACCCCGAGATGGAGATGGAGATGCAGATGGAGATGGAGCCAGAGCCGGAGCAACCAGTCCAGACTGCAGTGGCCGGGCAATGATGGCTGAGTTTGTCAATGCCAAACGCTACTGGGCGGTGAAGATTTATGGCGCGCTGCGGCTGCTCTCGGCCAAAGTTTGTCAACGCGAATTACATATATCAAATCCTTGGTGCGGCGCGATTTCCGCATCTGTAGCCAGTAAGTAAACTAGGCTTCCTAACTCCCGATGGCGCGGTGGCTCAGCCGTTGGCTTCTTGACTAGAGTTGGGGCTGGAGCTCAGCCCAGTTGCAACCTTTGTAAGATATCGCAGATTGCAAGCCACATCGGCACGTGTACATAGACGCATGGCAAGGTTTTCGTATAACTCTAGACTGGAGTTGGCAAGGGGCTATGTATTATATCACTTGTATAAACCAAATATTTATTTAAGCGTCCCACTGGACACCAGTTATTTTGGGGTAAAAAACTCCAGTAGGGCGAATGGAGTGAAATAGTCATCCACAAAGAGTTAAAGCAACCAGTATCATATCCGGTATACATAACTATATCGCAAACTGCAAGGAAAAATAAATATCCGCCAAAAGCTTTACGGCTTGAATGTAAAAACAAAAATTATACATTAATAGGCTCAGCGGCAGGCTGTGTTTCCCGATATTTTTAATCAACAAAAACTGATTTTTTTGTTGCTTACCTCGCTTCATTGCCCAAAACGTTTTGTACATTTTTAAAAAGTTTAACAAAATTAACATGTTTTTCAAAATACATATCAATAAATTAACATTCGAAGGGTAAAAAATGTAATATCTTTCATTTTTTGACAGGAAAAGAAGCGGAAACTCGTTTCTGTTTTTTAAGTTATAACAACACAAGGATAATGCTTCACGAACGAGTTTTCCGACTTCTGTATACCCAAAAAAAAGGGGGAAATACGTAATACGGGACTTCTGTAAACAGATAACAATCTTAAAAAAGCTCGATATAATAAAGACTTTCCAAAGGTTTGATATTTATACAGTTAATATAATTTATTTTTTCTTTTATTTTCATTCAAGAACACTATATACCCTTTCATTCTGCACAAATGTATCGATTTTGTGCGAATGGGGCTTCGTTTAATAAATATTTAGCAAAATGTATATTTCCACACAAAATTAAATTGTTACGAAAGCTAAATACATCAGTTAAGTTAAAGCGACGTTATGTACACAAATATACATATATTTATCAAATATCAATATAAATGAATATTTGTAAGCATCAAATGTACATGACAGTGTAAGCAAGTTGCCGAATCGACAGGAATATTTATAATACAAATAAAGTTTAACATTAAAGTGTTAAGTAAGAAAATATCTTTGAATATGTGGTATGATCAAAAAAGTGGTTAATCTGCATTTATAAGTTCGTTGTTCAACTTAGGTAAGTAGGTACAGCCAAACATTGTTAATGAATTTCAAAAATAATCACATTATGATGCTATCTTATAATGATAGTCTGAGACAGTTTAAAGAAGGTTTCGTCCCTTCCCTGGTCATTGTTAAATTCGTTGAACAACTCTGCTAAACATTGGAATTTGCAGGAATTTTGAGTCATGAAAATCCTAAGTAGAGCATAAATTACAAATATGCATCTAACTGGCACTAAAAAACCAAATTAAAAGCGGCTACAAATTTGAAATAAAACAAAAAATTGCTTTCATTAACAAATCTTTAAGTGCTGGCTAACACGCAAAACCAAACCATCAAAGCAAAGCCGAAATTAGAAAATCCAACTCGGAAAACTCTTCAAAAAGCTCGGGCTAATAAAAGCCCTTTCCAGTCCTTGCGAGTGTGAGTGTGTGGCCCCGTCGGTGTGTGTGCGTGTGTATTACGGCTAGTTTTTATTACATTTGTTTCCAGGAATTTTCAGACATGCCAAAACAGGTGCAACCGCAGCACCATTCGGCTTACGTGAGTTGCTTGTTTGCTCCTTTTTTAGTGCATTTTCATGGCTTTTCCTCTTGCATGCTTTTTTCCCCCGCTGAGTGGCAGAGTGCCATGACCCATGGGAATATCTGACAGACATTTTGCATATAATCCGAATAAATCTCAAGGTTAAAGTGTTGTAAATATGCATTTACCTCATCGGAGATTGGGTAACGTTAACCGAGCCATTGCCCGAGTGACCTGAATATTTTCGATTTTAATAATGACAAAATATTCTGGGCTATTATGCGCCCTGGCGGCTCTCCACGGTGGCTAAAAAAGTTATCCAATGCAATTCTATAGAATGCCGGCAATTTAAGGTCGGCAGACTGTTTAAAGCCGCTCCATAACTTTGGTATATGTTTGAGTATTTGGCATCAATGTGGATGGCAGCATATTTTCCATATTATTCAGATACAGGGCTTTATGTATTGCAACTTTATTCTTTTCATTTCGATGGCTATAATTACAGGAACAGAACGTCAATCAGCAACTACTTCTTCAACTAATGTCACTATATAAAAAAACAATTACAATGACAAAACTATAGGTCAAAGTTTTTCAAGAGGCACGACCTAAAATAATGTTCTTCTGTCAACATTGCTTTGTCTTTCTGGAAGTACAATTAAGTATTCATAGGTAAAAATTTTAAATTTGATCAAATTATATTGAACAAAGTGGATCTAAATCTTTTGCTAAGAAGTGCCACAAACTTGGAATTTTGAACCTAGTAAAAAATATTATATCTTATACCATAGAAATTGTTTTTGCTGCCAGAAACTGTATAAAGTTGGCGGTTTACACATCCTAGTCATTTATATATATAACCTGACTGTAAATCTGGGTACAAATTTTAACAAAACAGTCAGCATTAATGTTGTGGTGTCTTTATTTGAAAGAAGAAGATACAACAAAGAAAATGTTGGCTTCATTCCTTCAAATTTTAATAGGAAACATGATTTTATTTGATTTAATAACCTGATTTACTTTTGTTCGAGCTTGCTAAATCCATATCAAAAACCTCCTGGCTAAATGTTGCTCCAGTTATGGTTTGCCTTACTAAGAATACGACAGTTTAACCACTCCTAAATTATTCAGATAATAAGTATTTAATTATCGTTAGTGCCAATGAGATAAGTATACAGAGATAATGATCTTGATCTTGATCATGATGCAATCAAAGGTACGCCCTAGTAGGTTTGCGGATATTACAGCATTGCAGATATCAGTAACTTTCTCTATAAAATCGTTTTTAAAAAGGATACGCCTGAAACAAGCACAGAGTGGCATACCTCCTCGGGTATTTGGCTTTATTGTTCATTCCTCTAATGGTGGGCCGTACTACCGTAGAAGTCATGATTATTGCTCGATAATCTATTTCTCAACGGCTTACCAAGCTCACCTTCGTTCCCTTAAATTCAATTAACAGCAAGCAATTACACAAGCTCAGATACGCTACCCGAAGCAAACTTATATATTAGCATAATTACAAGTATTCTGCGGGGCAGCGCAAAAGAAATCCAAGCAGTGGCGCCAGTTGTCGGGGCAAATGGCATCTGGAAGCTCTGAGTACAATTAACATTACTTAAATACACATTAAGGTTAAAGACGCGAAATTTCTTCATGTTTTGGGGCTATTTTTTCAGCGCTGAGTTGTTTATCAACCGAGGGGCCCTAAAAATTGCGTGACGCACAAAAGGAAAGCATTTCAGCACACAGGGAAAAGAGAAAGGTGAAAGGGAAAGAAGTTTCGGGGGAAGGGAACTCAGTGCTGAACAGAAAGGGCAATGAAAATAAACACAGTAATTAAGTTAATGAGCATTTTGAGATTTATTATTAATTTTCTTTTGTTCTCCCCGAAATGCGGTGCAAAATCATTTCGAAAAATGTTCTGTGGTTATTTGTTATAATTATTGGCAAGCTTTCGCTTTCGTCCCAGTTTTTTTCGCTGCCTTTGATTTACATTTAAAGCGCTTCGAGCCCGCAAAAATGCGCTAATCCACATCCTGGATTTTGTTTCACATTAATTGTTTTATTTTGTTTGTGGCTTCGTGTGTGCCCTTAATTGTTATTTAAATGCTTTGCAAATCATTTTAAATATTGGCGAGCGAGGGAGGTTTTTGAGAGGTTTTGTCGAAAATGGCTCGCTAATTTATAGGCAGTCGTAAAAATCTCTGTCGCCGACTTGAATATTTTGTCATTGTGCCATCCGCGATTACGCAATCCTCATGTGAAAATGGCGCCATTTAGCAGTTTTTGCTAAATTTTACGATTCCGTATTAAAGTTTATAGCCTGACAAAGAACGGAGAACGCTTAGCTGTTGCGAGAGCGGACAACAAATTGTGTCCAGTACTAAGTTGCACATACGGGTTATAAAGCCATTAAAAAAATACAAGCCTGTGTAAGCAATGAGTATCTTTTATGAACCAGTTCATGGAAAAGAAATCCTCGGAAATCAACAGGGGAACACAAGGGAATAAATGGTTAATGCTAGTCATTGAAGGGCACAATGTATCCAATTTATTTATCAATTTCCATACCAATATACTAATAAGGGCCATCGCAGGAATATATACCGTTCCTAAGACGATTTTATTTGAAACCATTATCAGTGCTCCACAAAGTAATGATAGTGCTAATGACGAGAGGCCCGAAAGCGATTAGGCGAGCTCACCGAACATGTAAACAAATTGCCAGCTAACTAGAGGACTAATCACCTGAAACCCCCATTCTCCCACACAAAACGGCACACAAATAGCCCGAAAGCTCCCTTGGAACCGAACTGATAACCCACATAATCATGTCTGAGTCGCTCCCATCGTGTAAACAAAACTACAATTAATCAAAGATTTTTACCTAACGGGCTATATTACACGAGGCTTTGGTTAATTGCATAAATAAAAACCTGCCGAGTGGGGAGGGTGGAGAAAAGCTTAATTAAGCCTGCTCCACCGCCTGTCGACTCCCCGTGGACCTGGCAAATAAATAATAAAAACACAAATTGACACAAACGCACACAATAATGGCGAGATGGTAAATGGAACAAACAGGGCTCACACGGCCAACGAACACAGGGAAAGAATGGCCAACCCGGAAGTGCAGTGTCCTCAGACAGATTCTGGGATCAGGAGGGGGAGGGATATAGCCATATAGCCGTCACCGACCCAGGGCAGAGGTTATCGTTTTGAGTTTCTTCCAGGGGACGCAGTGGGTGGGCTTCTACTAACCTTCCCCGAATGGGTTCGTTAAGTGGGCAACCAGGCACCATCCACTTACACATGTGAGCACTCCGTGGTCGCCAGTTGAACATTTTTAATTGCCGTTTTCGGGCACGTGGAAACACACTGCTGAAAACTATTGTTATAAAATAGGGATTGGCAAAGGTAACACGATGTATACATTTTAATTATTCTTTCTGGAACCTATTTAGGCTATTATGAATTTAAACAATTAACGAACTTTGTTTTTAAAACTACCAAAAAAGGAATTTTTGGTACTTGTACAAATATGTCTCTAAATATGAAAATAATTTTTAAAAATAAAATGCAAACTTTACAGTCTCTCAAAAAACGTAAATTAATAGGCTTAAAAAAGCATTTTGTAGCTTTTAAGCAATTTTTTCCTTATGTCAACTTGGGTAGGTTTCTGAAAATATTGAAAGAAGATACAATTTTTTCTGGCGTGCAGTAAAAATGAAAATATTTTCCTGTACGTTTTACTCGATGTTGTGTTTTCACATTAGGTAGGTATGATTAGGTAGATTAGGGGAGTAGGTCCCCCTAACGCAGTGGCGTAGCGTGCCTTGTCGGGGCCCCGTATAAAAAATTTTTTGGAGGCCCTTATATGGAAGTAAAGATTTTTTACAAAAGAAAACAAGAAAGGAAGCTAGCTTCGGCAAACCGAAGCTTTTATACCCTTGCAGTCATCAAATATGTCGAAAAAAAATACATAACGGCTAAACCACATCGAAGCTAAGACGATTTTTCTATTCATTTTCTATATTTTCGACTATTGTTCAAATGACGGCTATATGATATACCGGTCCGATTTTAATGAAATTTAATTCGGTATTCAAGAGTCGTTAGAAAACTCTATATTCCAAAAATCATGCTTGTCTGATGAAAAACAACGATGTTACAATTTTGATTCCGGTTTTTCTATATAGATTTTTCGATCTTTCCTATGGCAGCTATAAGATATAGTTGTCCGATTTTTATGAAACTTTTTTCTCAATATAAGAGTTTTTAAAAACTTGATATTCAAAAAATCATGCTCGTGGGATAAAAAACAACGATGTTATCAATTTATTTCCATTAATCTAATATATAAAATTCTCGTGGAATATATGTACCTTATGGGGTCAAATTTTAAATATTCACTCTTTCACACTTTGGGGGCCCCCGTGGCCTGGGGCCCCGTATAATTGATACGGCAAATACGGCGGTAGCTACGCCCCTGCCCTAACGCTTCGTTAGTTTTCCAATGGCCACAATATTTTTATCTAGTCAAACATTGAATTACTTACTTTCAATAACAAAATATTCACCGGCGAGAACACAAAATCCTTAAGTTTAAAGACCAAATTTTCAGTGGTAATATTTTTTTGTGGTTTATTGGTTAACTTGCAAAGCTAAAACAAAGTACGTTCCACCGCCACAGTCCAAAAACAACAGGTTTGCCAATACTTTTAAGTACTTCTTGTGCTGGCCCAGCAAACCGGCGATCCGATCCCGAAGCCGACCCCCAAACCAGTCGCCCTGGTCAAGCTGGCCAAGATTGCGTTTTGGGCTGAAGGGCGATGGACTAAGTAACACGAGAACATCAACGACTGCGCCCGGAGTCCTGCGGATCGATGTTGGACACCCACTGCACCGGGTTGATGTAGATGTTCGAGATGGTGCCGCGCAGGGTGTCGAAGCCCTGGTTGAGGGGCACCGGCTTGGCCCGCTTGTCCACCTGCTTCATCCAGTTCTTCCAGGCGCCCTGCGAGCGCTGCTTGCGCTCCGCCTCGAGCTTCCGCTTATTGGCCTCCAGCTTCTGCAGGCGCTCCCGCTCGCTCTGCTGCTGCTCCCTCTTGACCCGCTCCCACTCCTTGAGCCGCTTCTTGGTCACCTCGGGCGGCACCGTCCTCGCCGGACCGCAGCGGGCAGCGGATCCAGCGGGTCCAGAGCCGGTACCCAGTCCGGAAACCGATCCCGAGACCGAGGAGTGGCCCGAGCCCGAAGGACTTGCCCTGCTGGAGGCCTTCTTGCGAATGAGCTGCTGTTGCTGCTGCTGCTGCTCCTTGCGGCGGCACCACTCCTGGAAACGCTCCTGCGAGAGCTGATGGCGCAGAGCCGCCTCGGCCTCCTGCTTCTCCCGCTCCTGCTTGGCGGCCAGCAGACTGCGCTGCTTCTGGGCCGCCTTGCGCGCCTTCCACTCCTCGTAGGCCGCCTGCCCCTGGCGCTCCTTGGTCTCCTCCAGGCTCTTGTAGTAGGTGGACGCCTCCGAGTTGGCGCTGGCCAGGCTCAGCGAGGGCACGTCCGCCGGTTCGAGGGCTCTGCCGTACATCTCCGTCCAGCTGCAGGTGGACACCGAGGAGCCGTCGTGGAGGCGGCTGCTCCCCCGCTTGCTGCTCCCCTTGGTGCTCCGCTTGCTGCCGCGGCTGCTCAGGTCGTAGGTGCGACTGGACATCTGGCCCTGCTCCTGCTCATCCCTGTCCTGCCTCTCCTGCTTGACCTGTCTGTCCTGTCCCTCCTGCTTGAAGAAGGTCTTCCCGCTGACGTTGTCCTGGCTGTACTGGCTGTCCGGCTTGAAGAAGGTCCTTCCGCTGAGAGTGTCCAAGTTGTCCAGCTCCTCGGCGCGCTGTGTTACCGTAGGCGTGTAGCTGTCGAAGGAGCTGAGGCTCTGCCCGTCATGCTCGAGGTTCATCACGGTCTCGGTGTCCGTGGCGGCCGCGTCGTCCGCCTTTCCCAGCAAGCTCATTTGATCTGGCTCCATCTGGTTCTCGGGTCCTTCCTCAGGCTCCTCAGAGTCCTCCGCGTTCCCGTAGCTCACCAGGCCTTCTCGCAAGGCGTCCTTCGCCTCCTCCTCGTCCAGTTGGTTGCAGAAGCTCAGGATCGAGTTCGTTTCGCTTGCCGAGTCTTCCAAAGGGTCCCCCACTCGAATGTCTACATCCTTATCCACATCTTCATCCACATCCACATCCGGCTCAGTATACGTATCCACAGGCTTGGTTTCCGGTTGGGGCTCCGCCCCGCCATCGACGTCGCTCTCCCCGTCGCCCTGGCCCACGAACCTTACGGTGGGAGCTCCGAAGGTGCGATCCGTGTAGCCCAGCACCGACTCCGAGTCCTCCGAGTCACTGACGTCCGACAAGGTCAACGGACGCAGAGAGCGCCTTCCCGAGATCTGCTGGCGATCCACCACCGAGCCATCGCTGCTCCGACGCGCTACAAAGGCCATTCTAGCAGTCTGGGGAGGATCGAGGAGGATACCGAATGAGGTGAGTACAGAATTGTTGTGTCTATCGAGTGTGTCTGGGGCTGAATTGGAAGCCCAGGTGGACTGACGGTCCCAGCACAGATTGCTTAGGGAAGTAAAATTATAGTTTATCAATCATTTAAGAAAATACAAATTATCAATCAAAAAATACAAAGCGTTTTTGCGAAACCAAATACAGTTCAGCCTTTAATTGCTATCAAGTTTCCGGCCTGACACTTTGCAAATATGATGTTTTCCGACTGCGCCAGATGCACTCGCACGTCCGAGGCAGAATGAAAACATTTTAACTAATGACAAGCAATTACTTAAACAACGGGTCGAACGACAAAGAGGGGGTGAAGTCAGAGGTAATTAAAACTCAACCCCACACACTCCCCCAACCACACACTCACACACACACACACACCCCTTGCTCACTCGCCGGCTGAAAAGCGTTTGTTGTCCTTCGTGGGCCTTTGTGGGCTGGTGATTCTTGCTCCTGCTCTCGGCCAGGTAATGAGCGGGTCTTTCGTTTTTAATGAGTCCCGGCACACACGGAGATACAGCTCCACGCGTCCTGCTCAGGTGTAATAAAAAAACTTATCGCCGCTGGCTTTTAGGCGCCTTCGCTCGCAGCGTTTGACAAACACAGCGAAATGATTTTGTGCGTCCTTAAACGCTGTATCGTCTTGGCTCTCAAATTAAAACCGAAAGGTGGGTGACACAATTAAGTTGGCCCTTTATCAACGACCTGCCAAATGACTTGTCAAAAAGTGGGCGTGGCCAGGTGTGCGGCTTGCGTGTGCTCTTCACTGTAGTGGCACTGTTCTGATTCGAGAATCAGGTCAAGCGATAATGTTTTTAAAGTCGGTCGCACAATAAAAAAGAGCACTAAACGGGCTTTTGCTTGGGAACTATTATTGCTCAATTATGTTCTACGCTTAAGCTCAAGCCAATCCTGTACATTCCCACATAAAACAAAAATAGGCTTTCTTACAATAACGAAAACCTGCATTTTAAATCCACACACAGTACCCACAGTTAAATGGAATAAATAAATAACTAGTTCAAATAAGGACACATTCCATTATATTCTACAAGTCTTGCCAGATATTTTTGCCTTTATAAGCAAACTAGTTTCATAGTCGCATAAATTTAAACAATAATAAATACCTGTTAACAAACAATGAGAATTCTAATGGGTTAAGTTCTTTATTGAATGCTTTTCAACAGCAACTAATATCGGATCACTAATTTCATCGATAAACTACACTCAACTCGTAATTACTTCAATGTTTTCATTTGGAAAGTATTCATCAACAAAGCTGTTGCATAGAATAAGGAAATTCAAACAGGTGGTAAGCCATGTCATTGTTCAGTTACACATTTCGGGCACGCTCGCAATAAAAGTTTTATTTTTAATAATAATTACATTTTTACCGTGCTATTGTCACGGAGCGGGCATTGATTATTGGACGCCTGTTCGCCGTCTGTTGGCCTTTGGGCGCTCGTTTAATTAAAAACGTGACAATTTTACCTGTGGCCAATGCGGCGCATATTTCATACGCCGTGTGTGACCACTGACCGACTTCCCAAATGACGTTGTTGCAGCCCATCGAGAATACTCCCATTTGAAAATAATAAAACGTTGTTTACATTCATAACAAACATTGCACGTTTTGCCGTCGGACGTCGTTACATTTCACTTTCGCCGGCCACAAATTTAATTAAGTGTATGAATATGACGGCAGCGGTGGACGAGGCCACCGGGAATTGTTTTTTAATCAATGAAGCGTCAAATTGAACTGATTAATTTTGCCTCTTTACCAAACGAAACCGTTTTTTACCAAGCTCATGTGTCCAAACAATGGTCTTGAAATAAATTGATTTGTGCAAACCAAAGTTGCGAGCTAAATCTTATTACGGCTTTTAGCCGACTTACCAAAAATGATGATGTTTACTGAAACCACGAAGAAAATCCTGAACGCACCTGGATTCCCAGCAGTTTACTCGTGGCTGCGTATTTGAGTGAAAAGAAAATATAATTTCTTGATATTTTTGTAAATGTGAGAGTGAATTTGTGTTAAGTGCGACAGCTTCAAAAAGCTAGGCCCTCTGAGATCTGTGACGATTTCACCTAATTAGGTGAGTGAAGCAGCCAGACGGAGTTAAGAACACATCGACAATATCTCCTCCCCCATCGAGGTATCGGCATTGACGTCTTCAATTCTTGGCAGCTCACGCACAACACAGTGTAAAGAGTGAACTGCCTGGCACACCGCAAACAAATCAGATAAGTAAACCCCTAACCGAAAAGAGAACCCGAGAGGTGGAAAAGTTCGGGGCGAAAACCTTTAGCAAGCGAACTTAGTGGGCCAATTTACTTAAGTGACTTGTGCCCAGTGCACAGGTTGCGACAGTTAAAATGGCGACTTTTATACGGAACTCGAAAATCGATTAATTCTTTTTTGATAATATTCAGAACAACACAAAATCCCGCTTTTTAATTAATTAGTTTCTTATATAAAAGAAGATATTTTAAAGCCCACCAATATCTCTCAAAGGTTCTGGAGATATAAATGCATATAAAAACAGAATTGTTTATAAGAATTTTATAATCCTAACACTACTTTTTTTTTATATTTTTTTTATATGTTTTAAAATTCTAATTATTTTAAGTGCTTTGAGGTCTTAAGGAGTTCCTTTTCTCAGATTGACTAATATTTTCAGCTTCAGTGACTGACATTTCGCGCTCTCGATGTCCTGAACTGCGGCGGAACTTCCTAATTCCAATTAACTGTGGCTATGGCCAGCGGATTGGCTGGCAGCTAACCCGGCACATTTAATTAACAAACTTTCGAACAATCGGTGCTGAAATATTGCCGACGACTTAGATGCGGTGGTTGGGCCAAAAAACTCACGAAAACTAGCGAAAATTTGAAAGTGTCATGAATCTCGTGTGACATAGTTTCTGAGATGAATCGGCTTAGAAGGCAGACACCGAGCAGACACAGGCGACCGCAGCACACACACACTAACACACACACGAAACCCAAAGGATGGCATAAAGGACGAAAAGGCGACGAGGCTTTGCAGCTACAGTTGCCCCCAAGCCGTAATTGGTTGCGTCACTGCATAAGTCACGAGTTCGCCTCTAGTCCCACACGCAATCCAAAACACCCACACCCACACACAAACACTTATACACACACCCCCCACCCACACACCCACACCGCAGCAGGCAACACTCGGAAAGTATGCTGCATTTAAATAAGATAAATGCAAGCGCCCACTAATTGAATTGCTGACAAGATTTTCCAGGCCCCACAGCTCACAGTCTGCGAACCCGACCAGATTGTTGTCGTCTCCTGGAATTTCGGTAATTAATAATTTCACGTAAGCGGAAATGTGAAACAAGCATGAAGACCGCATCGGGATCAACAGGAGCAGCTGGTTTCGGAGCAGGGAAAGTTTGCTATCTGATTGTTGTCGAGCGAAATGGAGACATGGACTGCGTTTCACTGGCTTTAAGTTTGCAGTGGCTGCAAGTTTGTTCAGCCACCAGCAGTTCATGAGCGGAAAAGTGGAATGTGTTCGGTGCGAGTTTAGCCAAAAGATATGTCTGTCAAGTGCAGATTGAATAGGCGATCCTCCTCAATGTTTGGCACATAAAACTAGTATTACTTAAATTAAAAAGTAGTTCAATCAATTTTTCACCAAATGCGATGCATGGTACATGCAGAAGTATGAAAATGAATTATATTATATTATATTATATTTATTATTATAACTAATTTAAGGTTGTTTGTATATTGTATGTTCGGAAATCACTTCTTTTTAATAAGCGAGTAGAATATTTTCTACTATTTTTAAAAATCGATATTGTTGATCTTGAACAAACTCTTTTTAAGTGAACGCCAACTCTTCTTATGAAAATAATGGCTCTCCTTTTTTATGAAATAACATGGATACAGACTGGATTGATTTTGAGATCACGGATGTGTCACGGATTATGTCCTTGTCATAAATAGAAGAGTTGCATGGCAAGCCAAAAAACTTGATGCCTCAAATAGCGTTGGCATTTAAACGGATTCATATAACTTCGTTGCTTGAGCAGAAACCGCTGAGAAATTTTAGAGAAGGTCGGGTGTAGACTTGAAGCTTACAGCTTTTTAAAGAATCATTTTAACAATTGCAAGCTGGTACACAGAATAGTATAGGACTTTAAACTTAGAACAAGAACAACAATAGATAGACCTACTAGAAGTAGAAGTTTTATTCGCAAACTCTCGGAATACGTTTGTTGATTGAATGATATAGCATTGACCTCTAGCCTTCCGACTGCCCTTCCCCGTAACGATGATCCCCCTTTGGGAATTTTAATATTTTAAATTTCTAATATAAACAGCCCGGAGTGAGCATTCTGGAGATAGAGGTAGAGGTAAAGGTGAGTGGAGTGGCTGAAGCCAGACGACAGCGGAGTGGGTTAAAAGCCTGAGCCCCTGACGAACACTTTTAACTTCAGTCCCCTGCCATGACTTATTTGTGAGTCCTCGTTCCGCAAGTTTGGGGGGGGGGGGGGAAGGTGGCGTAGCAAAAAGAGAAAATAAGCTAAAATAAAACTGATTTCATTACCTTGATTAGTTGGTCTCTTCAAGTCTTCCCCTGCTATTTGTCAGTTTGTTTGCCTGAGTTTTTCTGCACACACATTTTGAAATCCCACGATTCGTTTATGATGGCAGCCGGCGGAAGGACGACGCAGGAGTGGGATGCCAGGACCTGATGTTGAGGCCGGGCTTTTGGCCAGCATCGCTCTGCACTCGCCATTTTTTGGGTTCAATGCAAACATTAACCTCATTAGCATTCCGCTCTGAATGGATGGATACGTTTACCCCGGCGGAATGTAACTGCCTTCTTCGCTCCCCTCGTTTCACTTACACTGCTCCTTTTTATTTAAATGGATTAATTTTAATAGTTTAAGCCGATTTGTTTGTTTTCAATTGAGCTGTAAGTGCTGTTTAAGGGCAGCGTTTTAACATTTTTTCTTCTAATTAAATAAAAGGATTGCATGGAGGGGATGATCTCAGGTGGGATCATAATAAAAAGCTTCTACACAGCAAGAAACAACGCAGACAAAGGCGTCATATTCAGAACACTGTTGTAATATATTACCACTCTTGAAAAGCTAATTTATATACTAAAGATGCTAAGGTATCAGATCAAACTCCTCATCCTGGTCCTTATGGCATTGTAACTGAATAATCTGTGTTACAATACGACTAGTTGCACACTTAATATCTTAAAAGGAACGCCTAGCAAGGAGTCCACCCTCCCTGTGAGAACCCTCTTGAAATTACCCTTTGCCACTTGGCTAATCCCCGCCTGGCGTTGGGCGATCCAGGCAACTTTCTTTCCTGCTGCAAAGTTGCAACAGGAGGAGAAAGCGGCTTAATTAAGCATAGAATGGCTCTCATCTCGCCTGCAGCACTCCGGCAAGTTCTGCAGTTTTTATGCTGCCGCCTAAGTAGCTGTTGGTAATTTTTTCTAAGCCACACTCATAGACCAACACTTCAGCGGGGCGACTGGAGCTTGCACAATTTTAATTGCGTTTCCGCTATTTTTGATGCCTCTTGAATTTATAATTCCATCGCAGTGGTGCCACTGAGCTTCTCGCTCTTTCTGTTCTCCCTTCAGCCACTGGGCACGTCCTGAGAAAAATAATTCAATTAATTACAAAGCGGACAGGTGCAAGGCAGCTACACTTAATATTAATCATACGCAGTGTTGGCACCGAAAAAAGGCTATCAGAACGGTGACCGTAAAAAGCGGGCCCTCCGACTCGCGTTTGTATCTAATAAACATGTTTATTTCATTAGAGCTACACATGCGGCTATTCCACCCGCCCCCGCCCCCTCCCGCTGCCACGCCCCCAAGGGATATCATTTGCCCTAGACCCAACGATTCCGACATGAAAAATGCGTTCGCGAAAGTTGCCACGAGTCCGCTCACTTTATGATTGGGGATTTTTTCGTGGCGCCACTAATGTGCCATAGCTGCCGTGCGTTTCCTTCATTTTTTTTCTTTTTCCTCACTCTCCCCCACTACGGAGCATCCTGCGCCGTTGGCTTTTCCCACAGAAGCTCTGCTGTCGACATCATTACAAATAAATTGAGCGTGAAAGATACATTTCGCCAGCATTGACATGCAGGAATGATAGGCACATTTCCCCGACTCCCTAGAGGTTCGTCAAGGCAAGACCGTGAGACTCTGACTGGTCCTGTTTTACTTTAAAGCAACCTCTTCACAGCTCCAGAAGTAGTCCTGAAGTAGTTCTCTGAGTAAGAGAATAAATTGTCACCATTTAACGAACTTATATATGTGGTCTCCCTTTAGTAATTGCAATAAGCTTCTCAGTAACAAGTACAATAGTCTCAAGACAAATAACTAAGAGCTGAGTTTTATTAGGTGCATAAAAGGATTTTCGAAGTTGTTCGTCATTGAATTGTAAAACAAACTTTCCCTTAGGCCTGCTCCCTTTCTGTCTGATCTGAGCATATAAATTTAGTATTCTTACGACGTTTAAACTATGCATATACCTTGCTATTGATAATAAGAAGGTAACTTTTATGTTTTTTTCTTTAAAACTAGTTTAATAACTTACTCGTTTGACTTCTGATTCATTTATCTGCAAGCGTAATCTAATTCTAAGACTGTAGGTCTTAACCCAAATAAGATTACCTGCTATTATTGGCCTAAAAGAATTTAAAATGCCCCAAAAATTATTTAATTAGGTAGTGTGCCTAGAGAAGCACGATGCTCAGTATAAATTCAAATTTTACAAGTCCCTCTTCCACGTAAGATGCAAAGTGTGTATTTATTATATATGTGTTCCATGTGCGACAATTTCAAAATGCGAATACAAAAGTCAATTTATTGAAAGCGAGGAAAGAGGGGAAGGGCAAGGAAAGATGGCTGCGAGAAATGTAAGCATATAAACATAACCATGAAAGATATTTGATATAATAACATACGTGACCGCATTTACAATTTCCAAATCAAATCTCAGCAGTTGAAGGATAAAGGGCGAGGTGGGGCATCCTGCTTTTGTCTGTCTATTGCCATGCATGTAAAATGAATTTGGGGCTGAAAAGCAGAGCGGCCAGGGGTTGGGCTAAGTGTGCTTGGCATGCTGTGAAATTTGTTAACATTTATGCATTATCATTTCGGCTTACGACATTTAATGATAGCTGGGATGTGCAACAATGTATTTCGCCGCTGGCTGATAAGTGTGTCAAGGCTTCCTTAGCGATTTTATGATGGTAGTGCTCTTGCTTTTAGCCCTTGGTATTTAACCCTTTTTTACCAAGTAAAGTCACTTCTTTCTTTCGACTTGTATTACAGAACCCGACGAAAAGCGATAAAAACAAGCATCCAGTAAGTTTGTACCATTGATCAATGAAAAACTTTACAATGGAATCAAACCGAATGCCAAAACAGCTGCAAAGTGACAACGTATTAAATTTTAATACCATTTAAATACGTATTTTAAACTTAAATCAAGTTAATAACGCTTGCACGGTAATTTTAATATTATTTATAAAACAGCAGTAGCATAAATACTTCATTCGTTCAACATTAATACGACGAACATTAGCAATTCGGACTTGATCTATAAATCCTTTCCATAGCTCGTGGCAGTTTGTTATTGGTGAGCAATTTGAAAATATTTATTGGCCACACTCGCACATATTAGTTTTAGTTGCCACACTCGATCTATAATCTGCACTCTACAGTGAGAAATTAGATGGCTCAGTGTCTGCCCGTTGCCATAAGCCCAATTAAGTTTGTGGTTTCCGCAATGTCATATTTTTGAATTTGTCCGTTTACCTTTCTGACAGTTGCCTGGAGAGCCGTGGGCCTTCTCCCAGAATTCGACATGAGGGGTAAAGAGGGGTGTGGCGAAGAGGCGGGAAGAGGGGGAGGCTGGCATCGCGGCGTATAATTAACAATAATGAAGTCGTAAAACCGCAATGCAATCAGCGATGCGCAAAACACACAACTGCACGCACCCGAACCGAAACAAACAGTCGGAAGGCCGAACTGCCAACAATGCGAAAGCGGCCAAGAGCGGTTGTGTGTAGGTGTGTGTGCATGTAGATCACGGATGCGTCTGGATGCCCGTGCAGCCCCCTCTTCAGTGCCCCCACCCACCCAACTCGGAGTCAGGGTCACACGGGCATTATAAAATATTTATAAACCATTTGCACGCATAATTAGCCTGTCATTACATTTTGAGATTTTCGGCGTTCGCTCTGTTTGCGAATGTCAGTTGGCTCAATTGTGCATGTGTGTTTGTGTGTGTGTGTGTGTGTGTGTGTGTGGCCGTGAGCTTGAATCCATGTGTATGCAACTCGACCTGCGAATGAGCATTATGAGCATCCTTACTACTCTTGAACGGTCAAAATATTTATGCCAAATAATTTGGTTAATTAACGTGTATGAGAACACGAAACTAAATTATTCGCTTGGGTCTGATAATTGCATTCAAATAATTTTAAAAATTGGATTTTAAGTTTCTGCATTTTCTAAATAACAATAACAATACCAACTAACTCAGACAGGAGCTAAAAGCATCATAATATTGTTGTTAGTTGCTAACTAATTATTTTTCCGTTTATTCTAGATCCATTTGCTGGTGACACAATCAGTTTCAATTACATTTTTTGGATCCCTGAGCTGAAAAGTGAACGTGCCTGATAAAAGCATTTGTGTTATATATTATTTTTGCAGGGCGAGAGTAATACGAGTATCGTCACAAAGTAATTATACCCTTTGCGAATGAGACCCGCGACCATCCGGAGTTGATGGCCAGAATCCAGGGCTGAGGGAGCTGAGGGGACCGCGGGGTCTGTGGGGTTGGCGGGGGCTCTGAGGGGCTGGGGGCGTCGAAATGTCATGTCATGTTGCGACAGGCGTCGGACCGTTATGCACCGCTCCTGCGAGCGCTGTGTACATGTGTTCGGCCATAAAGTAATCAGCGGAAATGTCAATGGGCCGCCGCCATTTACTGATGTGTCGGCAACTGAGGTTTACACCGTCAGCCGCGACGTCATCGCCAAGGCACGTGTGTTCTTTATATGCACTCGCTAGTTTGAAGTCAGTTGCTGTTGCTGCGGTCCTGTAGTGCCGGGGCATTGTAATTAAAATTTCCCCTGCATATGGAAGTGCAATTGGCCGGACGGCGGGTTTAATTGCGCGGCTGTGTGTGTCACGACAAACCCCTTACCCTCTCTCTTCTTTTTTCCGCTTGTTTGAGGGCCAAGCAGAGAAAAACAAGTCAGAGCAACCCTGCCTGGAGAGCAAAGTACGTAGGCATCGCCTTCAGTTACAAGTTGGAGCCTTGACAATCAGGTTAAAAAGTCGAAAAGCCAAAAAATTATTCTGTTCACAAGTGTCTTCACCGTCCAGCCGTTCAGCAGGCTCACACACCCCGAAACCCCAGCTTCGAAATGGCATTCTGTGGCCACGTGAGCGCATCCGGGGAAATAGTCCTCGCAGACGAGGTCTTCAGCTCCAGGACGCGGGTCGGTCGGAGCTCCCCATCCCTCGACTCTCCGCTCTCGCTCTCCTCGCCGGACTCGCTCCCCCAGAACACCAGTTCGCGCACCTACTCCATCAAGGACAAAGGACGCCACTCGGCGGCGACTGACTGGTCGCCTACGTACGACGGACTGAAGCCGTCGGAGAGCCAGAACAACCTGGTGCCCTCGCTGTGCCTCAGCTCCCAGGAAAGCTCCGTCAACTACCTCAGACACGTGGAGGGCTTAAAGGTAGATATACCCGGAGCTAAAGCTCCAAAACGGTCCTAATACTAATAGTAATGAATTCTTACCCATCATCTTGGAAGCAAAACCCTGAATCCTGAATGATATATGTAGATAAAATATCCAATTATTAGGCTTGGTTTACTATCTTCATTAAGGTCGGATAGTCCTTGTTTATAATACTTCGACGATTCTACCAGTCCAGAGCTTTTAGATTGATTAATGTTCAATTATTGCATTTGCATTTGCATTTGATGTTTAAAATAAGCATGAATTTGAATTTGCTAGATTGTTGTAAGATTGTAGAAAGTTGCAAGCTTCGTAATGCAACTGAAACCATCAGCTTGAAATACTTAAAAAATCGTTCTGGATTTCAGCTCCTAACTTTTTTATTTTTTTGACATTTTTATACGAAACAATTGCTTAGAAGCATGCAAACTAAAGCACACTGGAAAGCGACTTTAAATAAACTTTTGTACGGTGCCCCCAGGTGGACAGCCAGCCAGAGGCGGCGTACGAGAACTGGTACTCGGCCAAGCAGCGGCAGCGGCTGGAGCGGCAGCGGCGGCTGAAGCGGGAGCGGGACTCCAAGCAGCGGAGTGCGGAGGAGCGCAAGCACTTGGCCCAGGCCTGCTACGACCAGTGGCTGAAGGACAAGGCCCGCCAGGCGGCGAGTCTCCAGCTGCAGACCCACCTGCAGACCGCCGCCGCGAAGGCCACGCTCGCGCTGGGCAGGAACCCCCTGATGACGGCGTCCTCGTCGTCGGCAAATGGCTCCAGCTTAACGGCGGCCAGCAGATCCTCCCGCAAAGCCTCCCAGGATGAGATCCGCCAGGTGGTGGAGGACTGGTGGCTGAAGAAGCAGCAGCAGCAGCGGGCGCAGCGCGAAGAGAAGCGCCGCCACTTCCTGTCCAAGACTCTGGACGAGGAGAGGCGGAGGCGACTCGCCCAAGCCGCCTGGGAGAACTGGATGAGCACCGTGGACGCCAAGCCCAGGCCGGTGCCCCTCAACCAGGGAATGGACTCGCTGCGGGGCACCGTCTCGAAGCTCTACGTGAACCCCACTCCCTGGATCGGGCCCATGAAGCCAGCGAAGAAATAGACCGCCCACTATTCACTCCGTTCAGATTACTTTGTCGACCCAAACATTAGAGATTCAAATTACGCGAAGATCGTTTAAAATGCAGAAACAGTGTTAGTTGAGCTTATTAAGTACGTAAAAAAGATGGTTACATAGTAAATGGTTGAACTGTTCGCTATTAGCATATACGAGAATTTTTGGTGGGGCATTCAGCCTTACCCAAAGTTGGTATGACTTTTAAAGTTGGGGTTTTCCAAGCTTAATTAATATCTTGTTTCTCTTTCGGAAAATTACTTTCTCAAACCATTCCGGGTTTTTTCTGGCTTTATTCTTCATCTCTAAATAAAACGGTCCAACACTGTTTTCAAGCAATTCAAAGAGCAATTTATACAATTGCGCCAATGCACAGTTTAACCAATTTTGTAAACCAATACGGAGAGAAGTGAAAGCGTTGCAGAGGGGCATTTACGATATACGATAGCAAATAACAATTTGCAAGAAAAACACAAAAGAAAAGAGGTAAGCAAAAATCGAAGCCAAAACTGCAGAGGACAGGACACTCAATAAGATTTCAATTGTTGTCGAACAAGATACATTTCTGGGCAAGCCATTGGTTGAAGATGTCGATGAGGCTGAGGAAATGGCGTTGAAGTCCTGCCCATTTTCATTACGTTTTCGAGACTGGCCGAATGCTGTCTGTCTGATCCGGTGCGTCTGTAAAGTTGCAAAATTATATTGTTCCAAAATAAAATAAAGCATGTTTTAGGTAGCATCAAGTGGAAAACAGAGTCTCGGTCAGATCGGAGTGGGCAACCGAAATACAAACAAACAAAGCCAAAGGCCTAAAGTTCATTTGCACAATTTCCCAGCGCTTGGCTCGCTCGGAGCTCCCCTTGCAGCAAAGTCAAAGGCCAGGTCGGTCCAGGCAAACAAAAAGACCAAAAAGACGCTGGAAATCCTTTTGATGAGGTCAACGCTGGTTTGGTTTCCAGTCCACACACGCACACATGTCTGCGGACACACATGCATGAAGTGGCACAGTGGTTGGAGTTATGCGAAAAAATGTTAACATCCTCTGTCAACTCACCCGAGCTACCTTGAAGTGTATAATTTAGTGTTTACCTCTTTCTATATGCACCCGAACAATGTATATTTTTAATCGCAACTTCAAAATTTAAAAATGCTTTATTAAACTGGGTGGAACGAACACATTAGTCTAAATTATATTTTATAATATTATATAATACCTACTTAAATCGAATCAATCGATCTTTTATAAGCAAACGATTTTTAAATTGGTTTTCAATTACAAGGTAGACGTACAACTAGACGTTTTAAGTTTAAAGAAGTGGTTTTTGTACACCAGATACCAAAAACTTGATGCATTGCTTTATAGTGGGAATGTAAAATATTTTTATTCAAAAAATTCTATGTAGTCAATATAGTTTTTAAACGTACAATAGCAAAATAGAATAATTTAAAAAATATACCTTGAATTCACTCTCTTAAACGTTTCAACACTTAAAAACAATGAGTAATTTATTTAAAGAATTATATATGTTGTAAAAATGGTTGCTTTTATTTATACAACAATATTTTGAGTTTTCAGGAATATTCTTAATCCAACCATTCTTCTTAATAAATCGAAGGATTTACTTGGCGAAATTTAATGGAAATGCAGAAATTGCAAAATTGCTGGCTCCGTCACAGTGTGCACTTGGCCAGGTCGATGCCTACTCATGCATGTTCGTTTGTTTGTCCGAGATACTGGGAAATGACGGGGAAATGGGAAAGTGGGGAAACAGGGATGGTCGGCAAGGGGCAGGTCCCGAATGTCGAGCATTGGCAGGATTAAATTTGGAAGGTATTGAAGCATGTTATTCGTCATCAATGTTGTTTGCACTAACTAGTTTGTGTTGCTTGAGCTGCTTTTGTTGTTAATATTGTTGTTGCTGCTTCTGTTTGTTTTCATCATCCCAATGATGGTGTTCTTATTGTTGTTGTTGTTGTTGTTGTTGTTGTTGCAAGAGCTGCTTTTGTTGCAACTGCAGGGCGACTTGGTTTGGGAGTCAAGGATGGAGCTCGGAGTCAAGTCGTTTCCAGGTTGTTTGCATTGTTTACGCACTTTCGCTTTGATATTATTGCAGTGTGCGTTTCGGGTTGATAGCCACCTGAGCAGGGTAATGGCCAGATTGAGCAACCGCCTCCGGGACCACAGGCAGCCCTATAGGCGGCATATTTTCTGCACAGTCGAACGCCTTATCGGACATCAGAGAGGCACTCCGCAGGAATATTTCGAAAGATCACGAAAGCCCATAAGAAATATAAATAAACTTGAAGCATATTGAAATAATAATAACGAAAAAGTGTTTAATAAACATGTAATAACCCAGAATTAAATACTAATTAAATATATAAAAAACAAATAATATAATATGTCATTCGATGTTCACTATTAAAAAAATAAACCCCAAATTTAATTTTTACATTTGTTAGCAATTAAAAATGATTCTTAGAAGAGTACAAAAACATTATTTGGAATTACCCTTTGCGTGGGACTTTTAGGAGCAGATTCATTCACAACAATATTAACTTTCAGTTCTTGGTTCCAATTGTTTATTTGCTTACTGCCTTAAACATCACTCATAATCTCCCCTTTGGAGGCTGCGCAAACCCGCTTCTGCCGCCCACGTTATTGATCACACACCATCAGTTTGATAAATATCTGGTCCATTGTCTGAGCATAAAACCACGGCTTCGACGGATCCGCTGACCTCCCCAGCGCTCCTTTATTTTGCACCTGCCTTTGTCGAACACTCAATGGTCGGACGAACTGCCCCCTTTTTCCATCGCATTATTTATGGGCACAGCGAGCGGTCCACCTCGCACAGTTGTTGGAGAACGGAGGCTTCATTGTTCTTAGCACTAAACACGTGGCAATATATCTTATTTCTGCCTCTGAAACTCAAGGTAATCTATTGACTGGCACTTCTTTTTTCAGCTCCACCTTAGTGAAGGGCCATGAAAGATTGGGCTTTTCTTATGCAAAACTGTTTGGGGGTGAAGGTGGTCACGGTATTCAATGCTAGCTCAATATTTCTGCAGAACAATTTGAAAAAAGTTGGTTTGGCTTACTTAAATGATGATCTTTATACCCTTGCAGAACATAGGTATTATATTTAATTTAGGCCAGAAGTTTGCAACGCAGTGAAGGAGACACCTCAGACCCCATAAAGTATATATATTCTTGATCAGCATCACGATCTTAATCGAAATACGTCTGTCCGTCTGTCTGTCTGTCCTCCTGTCTGTTTCTATGTAAACTAGTCTCTCAGTTTTAAAGCTATCTTGATGAATCTTTACCAAAAGTTGTGTAGTTATTGCACGCAGTATATAAGTCGGAACGGGACGGATCGGGCGACTATATAGGATAGCTCCCATACGAGAGATTGAAAAAAAAATTATTACTCCGTTGTTTTTGATCACATCGAATTGATTTCTTCCTGATGGTGTTTTTCAATCACTGTCGAATTTCGAATCGGATAAGTCGATCTATAGCTGCCTTAGGAAAGATCGAAAAATGTATATATAAGCAATGAAAATAGTTATAGCGTCGTTGGTTTATATCCCATGACCATGATTTTAAAAACATAAATTCTTTTAAATTCCCTTGAATCGAGAAAAAGCTTCATAAAAACCGGACAATCTATATATATAAAAGCAAGTTGTGTTAGTTCCACCACTTATAACTTAAGAACGGGTGAACAGATTTGGCTGAAAATTGGTAGGAAGGTAGCTTAGAGCCCGGAATAGGAGTTAGGGTACTTTTTATTCCGTTCGACATACCAAAAATCGCATATAAACTGAGTTATTACCTCATCAAACTGACAAGCACACACTACCATAGCATTTTAACTCAATTTTTTTAAAGTGAGTAGAAATTATTTGTGATTTTGGTGAATTGAAGTGAAGTGAAGTTTTTCGTGCTTTTTGTGAATTGAAGTGAAGGGAAGTTTAATTAATAATGCCGCGACCAAGACGATCGAATCTTTCCCGACAAAGCCGTAATGCAAGAAGACTACAAAATACTGCAAATGGAAGGTCTGAAGAAGAACAAAACATTGAACGTGAACAGAACCGCGTTAGAATAGGTCGACTTCGTGCTTCTCAATCAGCAGAGCAAAGAGAGGCAATCCGTAATACGGCTCGGTTGACAATGCAGAATCGTCGAGCTTACAACAGAGGTCAAGAAATAGATCATTTGCGACGCAGAAGAAATTTATCAAGTGCTGATTTGAATCGAGCAGCGTTTCAATACGATTGCATCACTGATTACAGCTTGCATCCTAGCGTTTGCATTGGGCAAATGGACGTTGTTTGCGAGTATTGCGGTGCACTGAAGTTTTCCGGAGAAACGCCTGGATTATGCTGCTTTAATGGTAAAGTTAAATTGCCATTGTTGACTCCGCCACCTGAGCCATTGTATTCGTTGCTTTGTGGTGAAACACAAGAATCACGCCACTTTCTTGCAAATACCCGAAAATACAATGGTTGTTTCCAAATGACGTCATTTGGGGCAGATATTATCGAAGAACGAGGATTTAATCCGACATTTAAGGTTTTTTTTTGTTTGTATTACATAGAATATAGTTAAAGAATAACTTACTTTATCTTAGATACAAGGGCAGATTCACCATCGAATTGGATCATTACTACCTTTCGAAGATACACAAAAAAATTTTTACAAATATATTTCATGGGCAACATGGAAGAACAACTTGATCGACGTCTAGCGATCAATGAAGGGATGAAGCGAGCAATTCTTCAAGACATGCAGTGTCTGCTTCATGAACATCATGCGATGGTCAGGTTGTTTAAGAGTGCTTTAGAGCGCATGCCAAATGATGACTATAAAGTTGTCATAAAAGCAGATAAACGACCATCTGGAACACACGAAAGGACATTTAATGCTCCAACAATAGACGAAGTCGCCATCCTGATTGTTGGTGAACAATTTGGAAACCGCGATATTGTGCTTAAACGTCGCGATACTGGGCAACTGCAACAAATATCTGAAACTCATCGATCATATGACGCGTTGCACAATTTTGGTTGGTTTATGTTTCGAAGTATGTTTACTACGGATCCAACCTTTAGATGTAAATTATGCAGTGGTAAGCC